AGTTGTTGTTGTTAATACATTCACCAAGTGTTTAGTGAGGCACAGGTCACAGACTGTGTCACACACACACACAGGAGATTGCAGGGATGGTGGTGGCGGGGTTTGTCCTTAGAGACATTTCTCTAAGGCGTAAAACTGCCGCCACTCTCCCAGGCCAGTCACAGTCACTCACACTGAGTTGCCCTTCAGTGAATGCGGAAAGCACAAGGTAACATCGCACATACTGCCCTCAACCCCTACCGCCCCCCACCCCCATTAACACAGGCAACAGCAGCCTCTCAAAACCAGGAGCTTGTTACTTTGAAGCTAAAGGAGTAGATGTGTCGTTAACAAAACCTGGACTGGAGTTTACATTAGAAATATAGGAACAGGAGTAGGCCATTCAGCCCCCTCAAGCCTGTTCTGCCATCCTATGAGACCATGGCTGATCTGTACCCCAACTCCAATTACCCGCCCTTACCCCATATCACTTACCTAACAAAAATTGACAGTGCGCCAGACATAGAAGACAAAGGGGAGTATTCAGGGCTTTGAGAGCTTTCCAGGCTGGAGGAGGACTCTCCTGAGATATTAGAGTTGAGGAAGATCATTCTCAACTTGCCATTGAGAGCGCTGTCTGGCAAGCTTTCCCGCTGCTTGTCCAGCTAGGACCATCCATTAGGGTGTGGCTTGTAGGGTTAACAGGAGCTGAGTGGGATGACGCTCTGTCCCCATTGACTATTCTTCCATTCCAGGTCCTGCTGATGAGCCAGGCTGGGCCAAGCTGATGACAGCAGTGCCCTGGAATGAACCTGCCTGGCTCAGGAACTGGACTACAGACCACCACAGAGAGTGAACTAACATTCTGTTATCAATCATGTCACCTTGGAACCAGCACAGTTCCAATGAGACCCCATTTACCTACCCCACCAATCCCCCCCCTCCCCCAAGAGGAGCTGGGCTTTGGTGTTGGGGTACCCAGGGACCTGGCTCGGAGCTGCACATAGGAACAGGAGTAGGCCATTCATCCCCTCAATCCTATTCCGCCATTCTATTAGATCATGGCTGATCGGCACCTCAACTCCACTTATCCGTCTTTGCCCCATATCCCTTGCTACCCTGACCTAACAAATATCTATCCACCTCAGTCTTGAAAATATGAATGGATCCAGCATCCACAGCCTTTTGAGAGAAAGAGTTTCATATGTTGGAGGCATTTCTCTTCAGGATAGAGCCTGGAATTAAACCCATCCTGACAAGTGGTGTGGCATCAGGACCATGGAAAGGACCAATATGTTTGATAAAAGCTTTCAGGTGGAATATTGGCTTGGCTTTGCACTGGGGTTTGGGCTGGAGATTTGGGGTTTGTGCCAGAGGATGGGCTGGGCTTTGCTTTAGGCTGGAGTTTGGGCTGAGTTTTCAGTTGGAGTTTCAGTTGGGATTTGGGCAGGAGTTTGGGCTGGGGTTTGGGCAGGAGTTTAGGCTGGGGTTTGGGTTGGGGTTTGGGCAGAAGTTTGGGCTGGGGTTTGGGTTGGGGTTTGGGCAGGGGTTTGGGTTGGGGTTTGGGCAGGGGTTGGGGTTTGGGCAGGAGTTTGGGCTGGGGTTGGGCTGGGGTTGGGCAGGGGTTGGGGTTTGGGCTGGGGTTTGGGTTGGAGTTTGGGCTGGGGTTTGGGTTGGGGTTTGGGCTGGGGTTGGGGTTTGGGCTGGGGTTTGGGCTGGGGTTGGGGTTTGGGCTGGGGTTGGGGCTGGGGTTGGGGTTTGGGCAGGGGTTGGGGTTTGGGCTGGGGTTTGGGCTGGGGTTGGGGTTTGGGCTGGGGTTTGGGTTTGGGCTGGGGTTTGGGCAGGGTTTTGGGCTGGGGTTTGGGCTGGGGTTGGGGTTTGGACAGGGCTTTGGGCAGGGGTTTGGGTTGGGGTTTGGGCTGGAGTTTGGGTTTGGGCTGGGGTTGGGGTTTGGGCTGGGGTTTGGGCAGGGGTTGGGGTTGGGGTTTGGGTTGGGGTTGGGGTTTGGGCTGGGGTTTGGGCTGGGGTTTGGGTTTGGGGTTTGGGCAGGGGTTTGGGTTGGGGTTGGGGTTTGGGCAGGGGTTTGGGCTGGGGTTGGGGCTGGGGTTTGGGCTGGGGTTGGGTTTTGGGCTGGGGTTTGGGCTGGGTTTGGGCTGGGGTTGGGGTTTGGGCAGGGGTTTGGGTTGGGGTTTGGGCTGGGGTTGGGGTTTGGGTGGGGGTTGGGTTGGGGTTTGGGCAGGGGTTGGGGTTTGGGCTGGGGTTTGGGCTGGAGTTGGGGTTTGGGTTTGGGCTGGGGTTGGGGTTTGGGCTGGGGTTTGGGTTGGGGTTTGGGCTGGGGTTTGGGCTGGGGTTTGGGCTGGGGTTTGGGCAGGGGTTGGGGCAGGGGTTTGGGCTGGGGTTGGGGTTTGGGCTGGGGTTTGGGTTGGGGTTGGGGTTGGGGTTTGGGCTGAGGTTGGGGTTTGGGCTGAGGTTGGGGTTGGGGTTTGGGCTGGGGCTGGGGTTGGGGTTGGGGCTGGTTGGGGTTGGGGTTTGGGTTGGGGTTTGGGCTGGGGTTGGGGTTGGGGCTGGGGCTGGGGTTGGGTTTGGGTGGGGTTGGGGTTTGGGTTGGGGTTTGGGCAGGGGTTGGGGTTTGGGTTGGGGTTTGGGCAGGGGTTGGGGTTTGGGTTGGGGCAGGGGTTGGGGTTGGGGTTTGGGTTGGGGCAGGGGTTGGGGTTTGGGCTGGGGCTGGGGTTTGGGTTTTGTGTTGGGGTTGGGGCTGGGGTTTGGGTTTGGGTTGGGGTTGGGGTTTGGGTTGGTTTGGGCAGGGGTTGGGCAGGGTTGGGGTTTGGGCTGGGGTTTGGGCTGGGGTTGGGTTGGGGTTTGGGTTGGGGTTGGGGCAGGGGTTGGGGCAGGGGTTGGGGTTCGGGCAGGGGTTGGGGCAGGGGTTGGGGTTGGGGTTTGGGCTGGGGTTGGGGCAGGGTTGGGGCAGGGGTTGGGGAGGGTTGGGGCAGGGGTTGGGGCAGGGGTTGGGGCAGGGGTTTGGGTTGGGGTTGGGGTTTTGTGTTGGGGTTGGGCTGGGTTGGGGTTTGGGTTGGGGTTTGGGTTGGGTTTGGGCTGGGGTTTGGGTTGGGGCAGGGGTTGGGGCAGGGGTTGGGGTTGGGGTTGGGCAGGGGTTTGGGTTGGGGCAGGGGTTGGGGTTAGGGTGGGGTTTGGGTTGGGCAGGGGTTGGGGTTTGGGGTTGGGGCAGGGGTTGGGGTTGGGGCAGGGGTTGGGGTTTGGGTTGGGGTTGGGGCAGGTGTTGGGGTTGGGGTTGGGGCAGGGGTTGGGGGTTGGGGTTTGGGTTGGGGTTTGGGCAGGGGTTGGGGTTTGGGTTTGGGTTGGGGTTTGGCAGGGGTTTGGGTTGGGGTTGGGGTTGGAGTTGGGGCAGGGGTTGGGGTTGGGGTTAGGGTTGGGGTTGGGGCAGGGGTTGGGGTTGGGGTTGGATTGGGGTTGGGGCAGGGGTTGGGGTTGGGGCAGGGGTTGGGGTTGGGGTGGGGTTGGGGGCAGGGGTTGGGGTGGGGTTGGGGCAGGGGTTGGGGCAGGGGTTGGGGTTAGGGTGGGGTTGGGGTTGGGGTGGGGTTGGGGCTGGGGTTTGGGCAGGGGTTGGGGTTGGGGCAGGGGTTGGGGTTGGGTTTGGGGCAGGGGTTGGGGTTGGGGCAGGGGTTGGGGCAGGGGTTGGGGCAGGGGTTGGGGCAGGGGTTGGGGTTGGGGCAGGGGTTGGGGCAGGGGTTGGGGCAGGGGTTGGGGTTGGGGCAGGGGTTGGGGCAGGGGTTGGGGTTGGGGTTGGGGTTGGGGCTGGGTTGGGGTTGGGGTTGGGTTGGGGCAGGGGTTTGGGTTGGGGCAGGGGTTTGGGTTGGGGTTTGGGTTGGGGTTTGGGCAGGGGTTGGGGCAGGGTTTGGGCAGGGGTTGGGGTTGGGGCAGGGGTTGGGGTTGGGGAGGGTTGGGGCTGGGGTTGGGGTTGGGGTTGGGGCAGGGGTTGGGGTTGGGGTTGGGTCAGGGGTTGGGTTGGGGGTTGGGTTGGAGTTGGGGTTGGGGTTTGGGTTGGGGTTTGGGGCAGGGGTTGGGGTTTTGGGTTGGGGTTGGGGCAGGGGTTGGGGTTTGGGCAGGGGTTGGGGTTTGGGCAGGGGTTGGGGTTTGGGCAGGGGTTGGGGTTGGGGCAGGGTTGGGGTTGGGGCAGGGTTGGGGTTGGGGCAGGGGTTGGGGTTGGGGTTGGGGCAGGGGTTGGGTTGGGGTTGGGGTTGGGTTGGGGTTGGGGTTGGGGTGGGTTGGGGTTGGGGTTGGGGCAGGGGTTGAGGTTGGGGTTGGAGTTGGGGTTGGGGTTGGGTTGGGGTTGGGGTTGGGTTGGGTTGGGGTTGGGGTTGGGATGGGTTGGGGTTGGGGTTGGGGCGGGTTGGGGTTGGGTTGGGGTTGGGGCGGGGTTGGGTTGGGTTGGGGTTGGGGTTGGGGGGTTGGGGTTGGGTTGGGGTTGGGTTGGGTTGGGGCAGGGGTTGAGGTTGGGGTTGGGGCAGGGGTTGGGGTTGGGGTTGGGTTGGGTTGGGGCAGTGTTGGGGTTGGGGTTGGGTTGGGGTTGGGGTTGGGGTGGGGTTGGGGTTGGGGTGGGGTTGGGGTGGGGTTGGGGTGGGGTTGGGTTGGGGTTGGGTTGGGTTGGGGTTGGGGTTGGGTTGGGTTGGGGGGTGGGTTGGGGTTGGGTTGGGGTTGGGGTTGGGGTGGGGTTGGGGTGGGGTTGGGGTTGGGGTTGGGGTTGGTTGGCTTTGGACTGGAATTGGTGTTGGCTTTGGTCGGCGTTAGTCCGGGTTCCGTTGGTGTGGAGGACTGATCACCGGCTGATTTATATGCTGCTCACGCTGTGATCTTTAATACTTTAGCTGTAACACTCTGCCGCTTCCCTCGCGGATTTATTGCTGCCAACCAGCAGTTGGCACGGCCGCTAAGCGCCTCTCCCACAGCCCATGGCCGCACAGCGAGCGGCAAACAGCCCCACATCCCCGCAGCCGAGTCCCAGCGACCCAAAGCCGCGGAGAATGGCGACCTCCAGTCGGGAGGAAATCCCCGATCGAGTGGCTTTGAAGAAGGAGATCGGACTGACGAGCGCCTGTGCCCTGATAGTGGGTGAGTGAGTTACAGAAAGTTACTGTGAAACTCTGGGTCTCTCGCTAACACCTCAGCCTCAGCCTCCCTCCCTCTCCCCTCCCTCTTCCCTCTCTCCCCCTCCCTCTCCCTCCCTCCATCTCCCTCTCCCCCTCCCTCCCTCCCTCTCCCTCACCCTCCCTCACCCTCTCCCTCTCTCCCCCTCCCTCTCCCTCCCTCCCTCTCCCTCTCCCTCCCCCCCTCCCTCCCTCTCCCTCACCCTCCCTCCCTCTCCCTCACCCTCCCTCCCTCTCACCTTCCCTCCCTCCCCCTCTCCCCCTCTCTCCCTCTCCCCCTCTCTCCCTCCCGCAGTACAGAGGTCCTGGAGTTAGTTATAGAAACACATCGGATTTTCCTTGAATTATATTTTGTTTCTATGACTATTGAAGGTTACGTGGGTTTGATATCCTCTTTCCTGAGGTTCGAGATGTTGGGGTTTAAATCCCAAATTTGTCAATTTACATTACTTTGAACTCTATCCGAGACTCAATTAAAATTCTGCCCAACTCACCTGGCGAGCGCTCAAACCTGTGACTGTATGGGGAGCCCGTGGGGGGGGGCACTGTGTGCGGTTGACTTGGCTCCAATGGCAATGCAATGTCAGATTCGAGCCAGTCCTCTGTGGCGGTCTCTAGTCCGGTTCCTGAGCCAGGAGGGGCCACAGTATCCCAGGGCACTCACCGCAGGGCCCGGCTCATCAGCAGGACCTGGAAGGGCCGACCAGTCACTGGGGGCAGCGAGTCATTCCACTCAGCTCCTGTTAACCCTGCAAGCAAAGCCTTAACAGGGAGGGTGGTCCTAGCTGGACAGCAGTGGGAAACCTTGCCAGACAGTGATAACAATGACAAGCTATGTGGTTTTAGCTGGTTAGACTCCAGCAGTGGCCCCAACGCACTCTGGGGGCTGCACACTAACGACCAGAGACTTGGGTGACATCACTTTGTCCTCTTACAGGTAACATCATAGGCTCCGGAATCTTCATCTCACCGAAAGGAGTTCTGGAGCATTCGGGCTCGGTGGGGCTGGCGCTGCTGGTGTGGCTGCTGGCTGGTGTCATCACGGGGGTGGGGTCACTGTGCTATGCCGAGCTGGGGGTGACCATCCCCAGGTCAGGGGGTGATTACGCTTACGTCAAACACGTCTTCGGTGGCATTCCTGGGTAAAAACCTAAACTCTGCTCCAACCTTGGCTCCCAGCGTCCCCTTTCCGGCATTGCTGCACTGTGTGTGTGATGTGAGAGGATGAGTGAGCATGTGTGTGTGGGAGAGTGAACGTGAGAGAATGTATGAGCGTGTATAAATGAGTGAGTGTGAGAGTCAGAGTTTGAGTGTGAGAAAGCAAGTATGTGTGAGAAAGTGACAGTGAATTTGAGAAATGAGCGAGTAATGTCTCCCATTCCTGTGCTGCAGGTTCCTGGTGCTATGGAGTGCGCTGCTGGTGATTTACCCCACCACCCAAGCCGTCATGGCTCTCACCTTCTCCAGCTACGTTCTGCAGCCCGTCTTCCCCGCCTGCATCCCTCCGTACATTGCTTCAAGACTGCTCGCCGCCGCCTGCCTGGGTGAGACCCTCCTCTTTGACTGCGCCTTCGGCACCCTCCTACCCCTACACGCCCTGCCCTCCTGATCCCAATACCCAGCTCAAGTCCAAATCCTTGACTGTCCAGTGCCTTGTAATGTCCTCCCTCTGTGAAAGGCACTGTATAAATGTTATTTGTTGTTGTTCCTCCTCAGTGCTGCTGACCTGGGTAAATTGTTCCAGTGTCCGGTGGGTTACTCGCGTCCAAGACTTCTTCACAGCCGGCAAGCTCCTCGCACTTGGACTCATCATTGTTCTCGGCCTGGGGGAGATCTGCAAAGGTAACATCCAGAGTCTTGTGCCAAACACCACAGCACAGGCATCGTGTGTGACTGAGCATAACACTGTGTATCATATAATACACTGTGTGTTACTGGCTATAACTGTATATTCTATAATAACACTGTGTTACTATCCATAGCATTTTATGATATAAGGATCTGTACAGAATATGAAGCACACTGTATACATTATGTAACACTGTGTATAATGCTTTGTGACTCAGTTTGAGCTTGAGAGAGAGCTGTCCACTGCTCTGGCTGTTTGGTGATTGACACCCAGTACTTGGCATTTCCATAGGTCATTATGAAGCCTTGAAACCCAGCAATGCATTTGACAGTCAGATCCCCAGCATCGGCCATGTGGCACTGGCCTTCCTACAAGGCTCCTTCTCCTACAGCGGCTGGAACTTCCTCAACTACGTCACAGAGGAACTGGTCGATCCTTATAGGTGATGCACATTGGAGATAAGCACTGTCTGACTTGAAAACATTCATTGTTCTGATTGTATTGATGGGATTGAGTAAAGTATTGGGGTGGGATAGGGGGAAATCGGTGGTGAGTTTTGAGCAGGCAGGACGATACCCAGAGATGCTGTGCTCTGGCATTGGCTGGGTTGGTTGACAGTCATAGTGGTGGGTTAATGGGGATGATCCTTTTGCTCTGTATTTTTCCACCTTTGACAGAAATGGCTTCTGTGCATTTAGTGAAGTTTCTGAACCACAAATATTCTGATTGTCAGGAACATTCCTCGTGCCATATTTATCTCCATCCCAATGGTAACGTTTCTCTACGTCTTCTCTAACGTGGCTTATGTGAGCGCCCTGACCCCTGGTGAGCTACTGGCCTCGGGCGCTGTGGCTGTGGTGAGTGAACATTGTCATTCACACCTCTCTCTGTTATTGTCGTTTACACTGAGCTGCTCAGGTAACACTGGCATCTCCTGTCCCTCCAGACATTCGGGGAGAAGCTGCTGACATCCATGCCCTGGATCATGCCCATCTCAGTCGCCCTCTCAACCTTCGGCGGCATCAATGGCTACTTGTTCACATCATCACGGTGAGACACAAGGAGGATAAGCATGATGTGTGGCTCAGATCCTGAACATTTGCCTTAGAAAGTCTTTCTGCAGCACAAACAGAGACCCAAATGCAATAGGTTTTGGGGAAAGTTCTGCTGCTGACCTGGGAGTGTGGACGATGTAGAGGGAAGTGTTAACCTGCCTCTAACCTGTGCTGTTGCTGACCTGGGAGTGACAATGGATAGTCAATGGATAATTAGCATCCTGCACGTTAACAAACAAGAGTAAATATTTTATGAATTTGGGAGTGATGATTGCACTCATCGCCTGAAGGAGCTGAGGATTTGAAACGTAGTTCTCGGCAATCCTGTTGTTTTAAACTCTATCCTATCTGTTTCAGGTTGTGTTACGCAGGTGCTCGCGAAGGGGATTTACCTGGGCTGCTGGCAATGATCCACATGAAGCGATGTACTCCAATCCCAGCCCTGCTCTGCTCTGTAAGTCAGACTCACACCAGAATCAGCCTGTGAGTTGGGCTGACAATGTCACAAAGCACAAGCATGGCACTCAGATTTACATAACACTGTGTTACACATACACCCCTCACTGTAATGACTGGGTGCGAGACATCGCTGTGCTGAATTAGTAACGTGTGCGTATAAAGATTGCTGCTGTTTCTCTGCAGTGCCTGACCTCACTGATGATGCTGATCATCGCTGACATCTACACCCTGATTAACTATGTGGTCTTTATTAACTACCTGTGCTACGGGGTCACCGTGGCTGCCATGCTCCTGCTACGCTGGAAGGAGCCACATATTGCAAGACCCATTAAGGTAATTCCCAGGCCGCTGTGCTTGAGAAGCAAATATCAACCAGAGGTTCTCCTCTGTAGAATGAGACAGCAAAGGCCTCCCTCCCCATCCAAACACGCACACACACACCTGAATTTATTCTGTGGATATTGATCAAGTACTGGATTTGGCTCCCGTCACACCGTCACACACAAACCCTCAATAGATCTTCCATGCAGGACTGGGGGAGCGGTACATTGTCAGAGGTACTTACTGTCTTTCAGGTGAGACTGTAAACAAGAGTCTGTCTGCCCCATCAGGTGGATGGTAAAGATTCTGCGATGCTGATGGGAAAAAGAAGTTTCTCCCATTGTCACACACTGAGACTTGCAAAATCTTAATTCTTTCTCAATTCTAACTTCACAAAAAGTGCAACACTCTGAATTTGATCCTGTACGGCACCCCTCACTGTAATATTCTCTGATACATCCCACACCCTCCAGCTCACCACAATACTAACATTGTCGGCATCATCTGAGGACTTAGCTTTCTAAATTTGAAGCTGGATTCTTTCCCTTCAGGTAAACCTGCTGTTCCCAATCATTTACCTCCTGTTCTGGGCATTCCTCCTGGTCTTCAGTCTATACTCAGAGCCTGTAGTGTGTGGCACTGCCCTGATCATCATACTGACCGGTGTTCCTGTCTATCTCCTGGCTGTCCACTGCAACAAGAAGCCAAAATACTTTGACAAGTTCATAGGTAGCAATTTTACTGATTCTCTAACCTGCGCTGTTGCTGACCTGGGAGTGTTGATGGAAAGTGTAGAGGGTGCTTTACTGTGTCTCTAACCCTGACCTGGGAATGTGAATGCAGTGTAGAGGAGCGTTACTGTGTCTCTAACCCTGACCTGGGAATGTGAATGCAGTGTAGAGGAGCTTTACTGTGTCTCTAACCCTGACCTGGGAGTGTGAACGCACAGTGTAGAGGGAGCTTTACTGTGTCTCTAACCCTGACCTGGGAGTGTGGACGGAATTTTACTGTGTCTCTAACCCACACTGTTGCTGACCTGGGAGTGCTGGATGGTAGAGACTAATTGTGTTATCATTTTTCAGAATCAACAACAATAGCTGGACAGAAATTATGTTTTGTTGTTTACCCACAAGAGGCATCCCCGGACCGTAATGGGAAATCCCCAGACCATAACGGGAAGTCAGTGGATCATAACGGGAAGTGTCAGGATGCTCGGCTGCTCCGAGCAGGTGCTGCACAAGGCAGGAGAATTGGCAATGAGCTGGCCCCAGGGGATGGCCATGGATTGCTAACGTTCTCCCGAGTTTAAACGCATGCTCTTGGGAAGGACCTGTTTTTTTTTTCCTGTGTTGCCATTAGGGACAGTCGATAGAATCCAGTAGAAATGAGGAACAGTCCACCACGATCCGACTTATTATATAAACAGGCTGTCGCCATTTAGTGGCAGAGGAGTGACACGCGCTCTCAACCATTCCAGTTTTGGACACCCCTTTGTGAGTTTCTTCAGTCAACACTCGGTCACTCACATACGTCTGGTCCAGAGCAATCAGCAGCACACAAGGTCACCAGAGATCAAGTGGAGGCAGTATCCTGCCCCCTTCAATGCCTCTAGCTTCATGTTGCATTGGCCTCAGATACACAGTGAAATTCTGGGCCCTGTGTGTGCCCCACACTTGATGAGTGGCATAGAGCAGCGCCCTCTGCAAGAGAGAGTGAAGACAGCAATACCTTTCACCCAGGAAATCCCTGGATTCCGTCCAATATTTCCAAGTTCTTCAAAGAGAGAACACTATGTTTGAGGGGAAAGTGATCCAACATGCTAATTGGGATTTTAAGGAAACATTCCTGAAAATGCTATTCTAGAAACTTATTAAAATGCTTCAAATTGTGACTCAAAGTTTTTAAATCCTTTGAGAGATTTCCTTCTCTCTTCCCCCTGCGCAGGCCACAAGCCTTAACACTGCATTCCATTCTGTGCTCAGTCTGGCCTCTATGTTGGTTCACTTGGCTCAGTCACTGCTGCCTATTGCCTTGCCTACAACAACTTGCATTTACATAGCACCCCTCACGGAGGGTAGTGTCCCAGAGTGCTTGTCCAGGCTGAGGCCTGGGGAGTACTGCACAACCATTTGGATGAGATCATAAATACAAGCTCCTGTCTATCTGTTTACATGTGTGCAAAACAATCTGAAAAGGGAGTTTTTCTCTCCCAGTGCCCTGGCCAACAATCCTCCAAGTTAATTACACATTCACCTCACGGCTGTTTTTGAGACATTGCTGCGCGCAAATGACTGCCACTTTTGCCAACAAAAGGTCACTACGCTCATCAGCAATTACTGTGAAGCATTTTTGTGAGGTTATGATGTGCTAAGTTCTCTCTTTACACACACAGCACCCCATCAGTGTGCTCGGGCTGAGCTTTCCACTGTCACTGAGCCAGGGGGCGAAGCTTGTACCTCAGCACAGGCAGACAGCTGATTGCTGTTAGTGTGAGCCCCCGAGCGTGTGATAAGCTCACCTCGCAAATAGACAAAATCTGCATTTAAAGCAATTTATTGAGAAGCACACAAGCCTTCCTGTCCCTCAGACACAATCAGCCAGGATCACAGCAGCACTTTTGTGGCTGGTTAGCTGTGGCTGCAATACTTCAGGTCTCCACAAGAGGGCGCTCTACCCCTCCCCAGCACACTGAGGACCTCCAGTGGTAGAGGCTGGGATTGCAGTGAGATGACATGGATGAGCCTGTCCTGTGGTGGTCATTCTCTCCAGGAACCGCTTCACAGGTGTTGAGCTCAAGTTTCCTACATCCTTTACGGTCTCCACATCTCCCGACAGACTGATTGATCTGTGTGATCAGAATGCTGATTATTGAGATCCCTTCAGTTATGTACGGGCTTGACTCGGCGCCTGGCACCAAGGAATGTAGTCATGATGTGAAGCATTGGGAGTTCATGTTTTTACTGCATTGTTATCCCCACAATCTCCTGCCCCTTTAGACATCAACTGTACAAACAGGGCACCACAGTGCCTGCCCCCTCCCCCCCTCAGTCTTCCAGGGCAGGAAGCCACACAATGGCTTCAACCATCTCCACTGTCCCCAATGCCCACACAACGTGCCCAGCTCCCGATTCTCCACACGGACACCGCTCAGGAGCCTCCCAAGGGACATTGTCCCCAAATCCCATACAACCAGGTAGTTTGTTCACTTGCTGGCCCCACCACTTGCTCTCCAGAGAAAAATAACTAATAAAATAGTTGCGTGACAACATCCTCGGGTTCCCTGGTTGAGGTTCCACTCAGCAATCCAGCAGCGCTCGGTCTCCCTGTGGGAGGGTGCTGCTCCCCCCTGCGCTGGAGGTTAAGTGTTTGTGCCGAGAGACTGAATGACGAGGTGGCCGGAGCGGGCAGTCAGTGCCAGCTGCACACACCGGGCTCAGAGACTCTCCTTGGCTGGCGTGTGGGTGAGAGTCCGGCTCAGGGGAGCTCGGCACCATCACACCTCTCAGCTCCTTTCCTGCTGGGCGGATCTGCCGGGTGTCTGTGTGGTGAGGGCCGCCAGTCTCATCGCAGCTACTAAGGGTCAGGGCAGTGCCTGGGGCGCTGGTCATCAAGTGATTGGCATCGGATCCCATTGCCACCAGGTCATTGTGGCTTCCCAGGGAACCGGGAGAGGGCGAGTGGCCTGGACTCCCCGGCTCCACCGCACTGATTGAAGTCACTTTGGGCAGTAAGTTTCTGGCCTCGCCCACAGGCAGGGCTGGCAGCCCCACAGCCCCCTGCCGGTCAGTCTCTGTGTCGGTGTCCGAATCGGGGTCCACTCGAGGCACTGCGAGGTCCTCATCCCCCAACTGCCAGCAGCTCCGTGGCCCCTGGGGCTGGGCTGGAGCGGAGGCCGAGGGCATGGCAGGCGTGAGCAGTGGGATCAGCCCCCAGCCTCGTGGCCTCGGGAACAGGCGACTCCACATCCTCCCCAGCCGGCGGCGAGAGGAATGCCGGCGAGAGGAATGCCGGCGAATCTGACGTCTCATCGCCGTGCGCAGGTTTTCCAGAACAGAATTCTGAAAACAGAACCAGCAGTTAGCACCTCGCAGCTCAGCTCAGCTACTAATCAAATCAATTAACACAAGCCATTTCCCATCAATTGTGCTGGTGCTCGCTCCCCCACTGGAGCTCTCTACTCTAATCCCATTCCTTGCTCTTCACCCCCTGTGACTGATAAGGAAGGTACACAGGGTACAAGGTTCCCCCAGGTCTCTGAGCTGTCACAGGGCAGGGAGCTGCTGTGGTGGTGGGGCATTGTGTCAGTGAGCAGAGGGATTCCCCCCGCTGACCTGGACAGAGGTTATCTGTCCGTCACTCACCTGGGCAGGGTTGTAGGCGGGGAAATCATCAACGGGCGGAATGAGGCCCTGAGCGATCAGCTGGCCATAGGAGGGTGGGGCCTCGCGCTGCACGAACTCCGCCTCCAAACGTGTCATCGGAGTCTCAAAGGCTCTAAAAAGGGTTAGAAATAATAATAATCAACTCAAAAGGCAAAACACGCGTGTAGCCAAGCAGTGCCGGGAACAAAAATAAAGAACATAATGAAGCTAAGCCAAGACAACAGTTACATTTTTAAGCGCCTTTCACGTCAGGAGGACATCCCAGTAATTATGAATTATATATTTATATTGATCATTACAAAGATGCTTAAGTGAAAATCAAACCTTTCAAGGATAAGGATAAGTAAAAATGCCAGGCAAAAGAGAGGAGGTCCATTAAATGAAACTGAAGAACAAAGAATAGTGCGGCTGCACTTCAATGTTGAAAGGACTGCAGCAGCGCGTCAAAATGAGTTCTCCCACAGGAATCTTTCCAGATGAGTACAGATAAAGATGAAATGTCTGTCTGTCTGTGTGTCAATCTACATTCCATATTGGACCCTTTGGTTGCAAGCGAAGCTGCAACGATTACAGCTAGTCTGAAATAAAAACAGAAGTCACTGGGAACACTCAGCAGGTCAGGTCAATGACCTGAAACGTTAACTCACTTTCCTCTCTCCATAGATGCTGCCTGACCTGCTGAATGTGCTTCAGCGATAGCGACTTTTGAAGATATACAGTATTTGATGAAACACCTTGATCAGGTTTCCATTATGGTTACACTATTGTCTCAGTGAGTGCATGTGTGTGTACCTGCACTGGCTGTTACATTGTGTGCGTACCTGTATTGTCTGTTACACAGTGTGTGTGTGTACCTGTACCGGCTGTTACACAGTGTGTGTGTGTACTTGTACCGGCTGTTACATGGCGCCTGGGTACCTGTATTGGCGGCTCCGCAGTGAGTATAGCTTGAAGCCACAGCCCAGAGCGATGATGAGGAGGAGGCCACACACCAGGCTGCCGATCAGGGCTGCAGTGATGACCTTGCGGGGTACCGTGACCAGGCAGTTGCGCTCATCACTGCCGTCCTGGCAGTCCTCCTGCCCGTCGCAGCGCCACTGCTCGAAGATGCAGAGCTGCGTGCCGCAGTGGAAGTTTCCGGGCTGGCAGGAGAAACAATTCTTCTCATCAGAGCCGTCAGGACAGTTCTTCTGGTTGTTGCAGCGGTGTGGCGGGGGGTAGCAGGCACCGCTGGTGCCCCCACACGGGTATTCGCCAGCCTGGCACCCCGCGCAGCCTTCCTCGTCTCTACCCTGTGGGCAGTGCCACCAGCCGTCACAGCGCTGGGCTGTGGTGTAACAGCCCCCCTCCCCCCCGCAGGGACGCTCCCAGGGCAGGCAGTAACCCTTCACCTGGTAGGTGGCGTTGAAACCGTGGCCGGAGCTGGTGGCTGGGGTGTGGTAGGCAATGGTGAGCTGTCCCCTGGTGGTCTCCAGGCTCACCGTGCCACGGTTGTTGCGGAAGGAGAGAGCCCGGATGAGCTTGCCGCGCTCGGCAGCCGTGCTGTCGTACACTCGCACCGAGTCACCATGTCCCAGCCGCAGGTCCAGCTGCAGCAGCAACCCCCTGCCGTCCTGTGTGTCCACCACCCATGTGCAATCCAGCCCCGGCCCCAGCCGCCGGAAATAGTCCGGGGAAGCGAAGGAGCCGAAGAATTTCCCCAGCCGTTCTCCACAGTCGGTGTCCGGGCAGCCCTGTTCGTCCCGGCCGTCGCTGCAGTCTTCGGCCCCATTGCACAGCGCAGCGCTGGGCAGACACCGGGACACCTGTCCAAACGCACAACGTAACGTGCCGGCTGGACACGGCTCGGCTACGGTCTCCGGGACACATACACTCTCGTCAGAGTGATCGCCACATTCGTCCATGTGGTTACAGCGCCAGGCACTCGGGATGCACTTCCCGTTCCCACACAGGAACTCGTCCACCTGACAGCTCTTCTGCCCCAGCTTCCCTGTGGGAAGAGATGACAGGCAGAGAGGAACCCGGATTAGGAGGGAACATAAACCAGGATGAATACTCTGCTTTATGTAACCTAACTGTGGTTGGTCACCATCACTGAGTCAATGACTAATGATTTATAATATTAATAATCCTTGCATTTGATACAGCGCCTCATCACGTCTTCTACACATCTCAAAGCGCTTCACAGAATAGACTGTAAAGTGAATTGACTGTATGTTTGTGGGCGAAATGCAGCAGCCAATTGCGCACAGCAGCGTCCCACAAACAGTTGTGGATTGAGTGACCACATTTTTTTTAAAAAGGAATTCTTACCCCCAGAAAAGCGATCCACCAATTGACTAACAACTGGGTTCCTACTTACTGCTGAGTAAACAGAGGTGTGTGGAGCAAGAAAACTTGCCCAACTTTTCATTCTGCTGGGAATCAAACCCAGGACCTCTCACTTGCAAGACAAGGGCTCTAACCACTGAGCTATGGGACTCTGTATACTTTCAATACAGGAGATGATCAGGATATGAATAATAAACAGTATTGGGAATAATTTGTGGACCAACTGATAATCCCACCATGCACAGCGCTGGCCCTGCCCTCACCTCGGATGTAGGAGAGATGGAATCCCCGGGAATGTCCGGCACTGGAGCAGTCAGAGCGGAAGTAAATCCAGACGTGGTCCCGGGAGGAGATGAAGGGTGGGGGGCTTCGGGAGCCGCACAGTCTCCTCTCTTCCCGCTTAGGTGTGGGGCCAAGCACCAGCCAGTCCAGGGCGCAGTGCGGAGAGTCCTCCAGCTCAAAGCTCTGAAAGCTACAAAGCAACACACTGTGAGGCCATCCCTGCCCCTCTCCCACCCACGGGCAACACTGGCACCCATCCCCCTCCCCACCCGCCCGCAAGCACACACTGGCACCCCTCCCCCAGCACAGTCCCCCCCAACCACACACTGCCCAGCACGGCCGCCGGCAAAGGCTGGAGTATAGTCTGCTCGGCCACAGGCTTTCCATACCTTACGGTAATTAGGTCTCCGCTGTCTCCCTGTATGTACCAGCTGCAGTTCTGCGAAGGAGGGTAGTTTGCCGGCCAGGCAGGGCTGTAAATGCTGCCGTGTCTCTCTCTGTGTGGCTCCAACCTCCCCTGGCAACCAGCTGCCACACAGCACAGAAATACAGTTACACTAAATCCTTTCCTGTGACCAGAACCGAGCCTCCTTTACAGTATGCTGCTCACAGTGAGAATATCTTTATCTGTTCACCTGCATGCCAGGAATCAGCCGTGCATATAACACGTGTATTACACATGATCCAACTGACACATCACGAAGCCGACATGAGTGGTCTTGGGCTGGAGTCATTAGCCACAGAGACTGCACACAAAAATAACTTTACCATCGCTGCATTTCTGACCAAGTCTCGGTTAATGTCAGGATCTCAGCCAATCAGAGCCTCGAGGAGGTCACTCGGGGAGGAACTTTGGCTCATTTTCAGGATAAACTCTTCAGAACACAACAGGACCGTGAAAGGAAGGAACGCTGCTTACCTGTGACAGAACACGCCGCTTGTCCCAGAAACAATGAACCTGGCAAAAAAATAAATGATGTAAACAAGATTAGTTTTCAGGCAGAGACTGCCAGGCAGGAACAACATAACCGTATCTCCAGAAGGAACCATTTCTGCTCACTGACTTGGCAGATCATAGGCGGCTGCAGGAATCCATCCCCTTCACTGTAAGCCATGACCAAGAGAATATTTATCATATAAAGAGAATATTTATCATATCATATAGAATATCATATCATATCCACAGTCACAATGTTTCATCTTATCGACTGCCCTCGGAGCTGCCTACTACTGCACATATGGCATGTCAACCTCCCACACACATGGCACACGCTGGCATCAAAGCACATGGCACACTCTAGCATCAGAGCACATGGTACACTCTGGCATCAAAGCACATGGCACACTCTTGCATCAGAGCACATGGTACACTCTGGCATCAGAGCGCATGGCACACACTGGCATCAAAGCACATGGTACACTCTGGCATCAGAGCCCATGGCACACGCTGGCACCAGAGACCATGGCACACGCTGGCATCAAAGCACACGGCACACGCTGGCATCAAAGCACACGGCACACGCTGGCATCAGAGCACACGGCACACGCTGGCATCAGAGCGCATGGCACACGCTGGCACCAGAGCACATGGCACACGCTGGCATCAAAGCACACGGCACACGCTGGCATCAAAGCACACGGCACACGCTGGCATCAGAGCACACGGAACACGCTGGCATCAGAGCACATGGCACACGCTGGCATCAGAGCACATGCCACAGAGCGAAGGTCACTGTGAACCTTATGTAGCCTGAACCAATAAAGCTGCACATGGTTAGCAAATCAATATTACTGTTGGCATTTCGACAAAAGTTAATTTTTAATATCAGACATGTGTTGCAGCTCTTGTGAGGACTAAACATGGGCCAAACCCTCAGTCTCCACAGACACACACACACACAGCCAGACAGAGACAGACACACACACAGACAGACACACACACACAGCCAGACAGAGACAGACACACACACAGCCAGACAGACAGACACACACACAGACAGACACACACAGACACACACACACACAGACAGACAGACAGACAGACACACACACAGCCAGACAGAGACACACACACACACACACAGCCAGACAGAGACAGACACACACACAGACACACACACAGCCAGACAGCCAGACAGACAGAGACAGACAGACACACACACACAGACAGACACACAGCCAGACAGACAAACAGACAGACAGACACAAACAGACACAGACACACAGACAGTATCACACAGGGAATAACACAGCCCGGGGTCAGGCCGCTCGGTCAGCAACACGGATCTGTGCCCGAAACAACAACAACGCCGCCGGGAGGGCCGTCCCGGGGCCGCGGGACAGAGACTGACCCGGAAACAACATTCACTGAAGAAGAAAGGTTTTGGGCTCTGATTTACTGCGGTTTTCCCCGCGAAGGCGACACCGAAACACCGACCACCAAACAGCCCACAGGTCAACACCAACACATGTGCGCGGCCTCACGTCCGGGAGACGTCCTGAGGCGCTGAACAGTCAGGTATCAGTGTTATAGGGGGGCACCGGGGGGGGGCACCGGGGGGGGCACCGGGGGGGGGGGGCACCGGTTGGGGGGCGGCACCGGGAGGGAGGCTCCCGCTCCCTCTGTCCGACCGGATTCTTACCGTCCGACTGACCGGATCACGGAGGGGGGAGGATGGGGCCGCGCACCGCCAGCCCCGGGCGGGGGGGGGGCGGGCGGCGCAGTAACCGGGGCCGCGCTCACCGAGGCCGCCGAGCAGCAGACGGGCCAGAAGCCCTGTGGCCGCCATCTTCTCCATCACCGTGTGTCACCCCGTGGCGGTGCCGCCGGGCGGCCTGCGCTCGGGCTCCCGGTACCGCTGCCGCCTCATCGCCGCCGCCGCCGCCGGGGCTCCGCACGCTCTGCCGGCAACATGGCTGCGCGCCTGCGCACAACCTTTGCCAGTACGAGGCCGCTTAGGCCGCCGCCATCTTTGATGCGGGCACCAGCGCCGCATCGCGCGCGGTGTGAGTTGCGTGAGAAGCTGAACGTGTGGAAATTTTAAATAAATAATAATAATTTGGTCACTCAATCCACGACTGTTTGTGGGACGCGGCTGTGCACAATTGGCTGCCACGTTTTGCTCACAAAATATACAGTCACTACACTTTACAGTATATCCTGTGAACAAACAACAAACAAAATTACATTTCTAAAGCGCCTTTCGCGTTAAGAGGACATCCCAAGGCACTGGACATTCAGTGTTTCGGACTTGAGTTGGGGTCGGGATCGGCGAGTGTGTGGGGCGGCGGGGGGTCGAGGGTTGAGGACAGAGGGGGAGGAGGGTGACCGAAGGCATGGTTGAAGAGGAGGGTTTTGGTGGGGTGGGGAATGTGAAGCAGGCCGGAGCCCCCCCTGAGCGGAGGGAGTGGGCAGGTTGGTAGGGGGTTAGGAGATCACATCGGGAGGAGGAAGGCTATAGAGGGTTTTGAAGGTGAGGACCAGCATCTTAAACTGTATGCTATGTGATGGGAAGCCAGTGGAGTCAGGCGAGAATGGGGGTGATAGGATCGTGGAGTCTAGTGCAGGAGAGGATACGGGCTGCAGAGTTCTGGATGATCTGCAGCCTGTGAGGGGAGGAATTGGGGAGGCCGACAAGCAGGGAGCTTGTGTAGTTGAGTCTGGATGTTATGCAATCGTGTATAAGGGTTTCAATGGCCTGCGTTGTGAGACAGTGGAGGAGCCAGACAATGTTGGGGAGGTGGGGAAAGGCGGAGCGGGTCATGGCATGGATGTGGGGTATGAAGCTCTTTGAGACCTCTCAAAGACGTGATAAAGCATTATATCAAATGCAAGAATTATATTATTAAATTAAACCATGCTTCAAGCCTTACTGAGTGACTCTTTCACAGGAGGTCTTTGGTTCCATATATCATTGCAGGTGGGAAAGCAGTTGGACAAAGCTATGAAGAAAGTTAATAATAATAATCCTTGCATTTGATATAGTGCCTTATCACATCTTCTAGACGTCTCAAAGTGCTTCACAGAATATACAGTAAAGTGAATAGACTGTATATTTTGTGGGTGAAATGGGATGGAGCCTACGATTTAGAAATAGGGGCAGAGAATACAAAACCAAAATATAAAACTGGGATGCACTCCAGGAGAAGACTGATTTTTACAGTGACCCCACAATCATGAACCCGACACTCCCCTCATCCCCACCCCACACTTCATGCTATGGGAAAATTCTCCACCTGACAACACAGCAGCTCTCTCTTCAGGCAATCCCAGCAACAAATCAGAATGCTGTTTCTGTACTCTCACATGTTGGAAATCCCTTTGGGCAATTTGCTGCCTGGCAATAGCAAGAGGATATAACAAAGGTTGTCGAAAGGTAAAGGAAGAAGCTGCACCTTTTATAGTGCCTTATCATAGCAAACTATACAACACCTCAAAGTGCTTCACAGCACTTAACAATAGCAGCCTTTGTTGCCAGCAACATCTTACATCCTGAAGATGCTGACTCGTGCTGTGCCTTGGCGATCCACATGGATAACATATCTATCTATCACTCACTCACTCATTGTCAGAACAGATATTTTTAACCAAGGGGATTGTTACAACCAAACCTGACCTGGCCATCACCCAAGGCTATACACACACCTTCCGACAAGGATGACTGGATGGCGATCAGGGGCAGGAACCTTAAACTTCCTGAGTGTGGCGTCCCACACCCCTCAGGATCTCCTCAGGCCAGTCATTGTGATCTTCTGATACAGGCAGGGCCACAAAGACATTCAGTCACCCGATTCCACACGAGGGATGGAAATACAGTAGGAGGAATAATCATGTGATCATTATTACGCCCACAAAATAGACAATTCACTTTACAGTATATTCTGTGAAGCGCTTTGAGACATCTCCAAGACATGATAAGGCACTATATCAAATGCAAGGATTATCATTATTTTATTATTACGGGTGATCGTATATCCTCTAGATTTCACATATCTAATTATGCACAGAGGTATATTATTGCTATTTTGGTTGTTAATTTACACACAATTAAAACCTTGTGAGAATTAATTATATAATAATGATTTATGCAGCCCTCAGTCCTGGCTCCTCTCACTAGGGTTTTGTTGAGTGCTGTGCTGCTACAATGTTCTCCTTTATATTCAGGTGCAAATTATAATTACTGTTTGAAAGTAGTTTAAAGCTAGAAATTGCTGGTGAGAGAAATATAATACTGTGTCCAGAATCATACTATCAATTTATCAATCGTTTCCCATCTAAAGAATTTTACAAAAATAACAATTATGAAGTTATTCCGAAGCAAAATTAGTCTCAGGAAATTTCTGCAAAAGAAAAGGCACCGCTGGGATTCGAACCCAGGATCTCCTGTTTACTAGACAGGCGCTTTAACCAACTAAGCCACGGCGCCGCCGACACAACGCCGGGAATCGGGGCTTTTAGATACACTGCGCCTGCGCTCTGGCTCGGCGGCGCCGTTCATTCATAAAGTTCAGGTCGCTGCCCGAGCGCCTGCGCACTCCTCCCTCCGCTCGTTGGATTAAGGTAACGCAGGCGGCGGCACTTAGTCTGTACCGCCCCCCCCAGGCTGCCCCTCCCCCCAGGCTGCCCCGCCCCCCCAGGCTGCCCCTCCCCCCCAGGCTGCCCCGCCCCCCCCAGGCTGCCCCTCCCCCCCAGGCTGCCCCTCCCCCAGGCTGTCCCCCCCCACCCCCAGGCTGCCCCTTCCCCCCAGGCTGTCCCCCCCCCACCCCCAGGCTGCCCCTTCCCCCCATGTAAGCAATTTTTTTGCTCAGCCGAGTGTCTGACACCTGCGGAAACCCATCACCTGCTTAAGAGTCTCCAAACCAAACAGGTTTCCATACATCCCACCGACACATGGAAATCCCAGAGATGGATTGTTGCGATGGAATGCGCTCTCTCTCTCCCTGGAGGGAGGCCTCCCGCTTACCTAGTTCCGGAGAGTATTAGGCGCAGGTTGGCAAGAGCCAAGGCTCGGGGGGAGCCCAGAGTGTGCGTTGGGGTAACTGCTGGACTCTAACCCACACAGCTTTGTCATTGAGAGCGCTGTCTGGCAGCTTTCCCGCTGCTTGTCCAGCCAGGACCACCCTCCCCGTTAGGGCTTTGGCTTGCAGGGTTAATAGGAGCTGAATCGGATGACTCCCTGCCCCCAGTAAATGAGCAGCTGCAGTGTGGGCACCGCCCGGAGCTCAGGATGGGATACCACTGGAATCCATTCATGTTAGTAACCAAGGTCTCATTTTATTCACAAGTTGTACAAAAATCCAGGCAACGCACCACATGAGGAGGGAGGGGGGAGGGGTAAATGCCAGTAAAATACACAACAACAATTTGCGTTTCTGCAGCACCTTCACCCGAATGAGCCCCAGGAGGCACCTGTGGGAGGGGTGGAGGTTCAGGGTTCGGGTGGGGAGGAGAGCATCCCCAGACGGCAGAAGACACAGAGCACGGGCGCTCCCAGGTCCAGCTGGAAGATGGAGAAGTTTCTTCTGCACTGCTTGCACTGGGGGGTGGGGTGGGGAGAGAGCACACATCAGTCACACACATTGAAGATAACCTGAATTTAAATAGCACTCCGCACATAGAATAACATCCAGCAGCACTTTACAGTGGCAGGACGCCCTGTGTCACTGCACCTTTGCTACAGTTTGAAAGTTTCCCTCTGCTTAAACCTGGAATTAGATTTATTACTGCTGAACCGTTTGGCTGAAGAACAAGTTCCGAGTATTTGCTTTTTTGGGGATCAGCCAGGTAACAACAGGGGTGGGGGTGATTACACTGGAGAGGTGCACACACACGCCAACGTCCAACATGGTCAAGAGATCCACCCAAGCTCACGGTCACTCCGAATGGAACCAATAACTACGATGAGCAGTAACTACTTCATGTCGAGGGCGGTAATTGTGTGGAACAATACTCCCAGGAAGACAGTAAAGCCAATAGTGGAGGCAGTTTCAGAAAGGATTTAGATGGGGATGGGAGTGGTTGTAATGATTCACAACTGTTTGTGGGACACTGCTGTGCACAATTGGCTGCTGAGTTTCACCCACAAAATACAATTTACTTTACAGTATATCCCGTGAAGCGCTTTGAGACATCTCGAAGACATGATAAGGCGCTGTATCACATGAAAGGATTATTATTATTATTCCTATAGAATTCCAGAGTGAACCCCAATGAAGTACACCCTGAAACCCTGGTCCACGCCTTTATCACCTCAAGGCTGGACTATGGGTACTCTCTTCTCGCCGGCCTTCCAGCCACCTCCCTCCACAAGCTGCAGGTCATTCAGAACTCTGCAGCTTGTGTACTGTCCCGCACCAGGCTTCGCGATCACATCACACCCACCCTCGCTCGCCTCCACTGGCTCCCCATCCCCCAGAGGATTGATTTCAAGATCCTCATCCTCACCTATAAGGCCATCGCTCCCTCCTACCTCTCTGACCTACTATCCCCCTACCTACCTGCCCGTACCCTCCGTTCCTCCGGCTCCGGTCTGCTCCACGTCCCCCGCCCCAACCGCCCTACCATCGGTGGTCGGGCCTTCAGCCTCTCAGCCCCCAGGCTCTGGAACTCCATCCCCCAGTGCCTTCGCCGCTTCCTCCCTCTCCTCCTTCAAGGCCGGTCTCAAAACGTTTCTCTTTGACCGTGCCTTCAGCTCCCCTCTCGACTCTCTTCCCCCTTCTCGCTCCCTCCCTTCCCTCCCCTCACCCTGACCATTTCCCCCCTCCTCGCTCCCTCCCTCCCCTCCCCTCACCCTGACCATTTCCCCCCTGCTCGGGTCCTGACCCAACTGTGCAGCGCCTTGGGACGTCCTCCTGACGTGAAAGGCGCTTTATAAATGGAATCTTGTTGTTGTTGTTGTACACATACCTGGATAACTCGCATGCCCTTCTCTTTATCCTCGATGTTTACGATGGCAACACTATTGATGCGTTCAATATTCCACATCCGCAAAGTGGCATCCTGAAAAATTGCAATGCTGTAAAAATTCCTTTGGAACTTTCAATAAATGAATTCACTCCGGACAACCCGAGATTCCTGAAGATTCTCCCCAGATTCCTCCCCCCCCCATCTGACAACCACATCTACCCCGACCCATCAGACAGCCACAGCTACCGCACCCATCAGACAGTAACTGCTACTCCCCCATCAGACAGTAACAACTACACCCCATCAGACAGCCACAGCTTATCCGCTCCCTCCCATCCCATCAGACAGCCATAGACTGAGCCTGTGAGAGGACACCATGTATAGAGTTTGCAATGGCTGACATGGTCAGCTTGAGGTGGAAGGTAAGCTGGTCAAAGAGCAGGCGAAAAGCTTGAAGGAGAGCTGAGGGTCTCCGAGTTGCAGTGAGCAGCCTCCAGGACTGATACAGTCAGAGCAAGTGGCCAGGAGGCACTGTGGGAACCGAGGAAGAGACACACCAACCCGTGAGAAGCATTACCTTACAACCGGAGAGAATCCACTTGCTGTCAGAGGAGAGATCGACATCCATCACCCAGTCCTTGTGGCCCTGTGTGAGGAAAGGGAAAAAAGGATGGATGGCTTCAGGCAGCTGTAACCACAGAAATGCATCACGTGGTGACTTCAGCATGTGACATGATGGTTCCTTGTCTGGGATCTGGTGACTCAGACCTGAAGACAAGGATCCCCAAGCATGATTGCAGAGCAACAATTTCAGCGCCAGCCTCCAGTCCCACTGTCCCCAGCATGGCAATGCTCAGGCACCGGGAACTCTCCTCTGACTCTCAGAATGCCATCGGACCCAGGAGAGATGGGCCTCACGGTGCTGGCCGCTGAGTTAGCAGACGGTCAGCTCGCTTGGAGGGTGCTCAGATCTGCACGTGAGTGAGCTCTCACTCGCTTGTTCACACATTACACTGACATGAGATCTATTCATGTAGAGACGCAGCTCTGGAGTGATGACTAAATGGTTCCACCTTGAGGAAGAGCTTCCTGTAGGCTCGAGCTGAGTCCCAGATGGAAATGGTTTTATCATAGGCCCCAGCGACGATCAGAGAACCTGCAACACAGCAGCACAGCAACTGAGTAAACATTCAACACAAAGACCAACATTGTCATACCGGCACTGTAACACTCTCAAACTAACCAGTTCTGTACCCTGTGGGAGAGTGACTGCCCAAAGCTCTCTGGGACGCTCCCCTGCGTGAAGGGCGCTATATGAATGCCAGTTGTTATTGTTGTTGCCCCTGGCAGGTCAACACTCAAGGCTCTGCATAACACAGAAATTATCTGTGCCGCAGTGTTTACACTGGTTTACACACAGTGGAGGGGGATGATCGGACCCTGGGATGACGCAGTAGAAAGAGTTACACTGGTTGTGTAGCAGGTACTCACCGTCGTGTGAGAACACACAGGAACTGATGCAACCATCATGCCCGTCGATGAAGCTGATTGGCCCTCGGGTCCGGTACTCGCCTGTTTTGATGTCCCACAGCTGCAAGGTCTTGTCCCAGGACGCGGTGCATAGGCTGTTCAGTTTGTGGCTGAAGCAGCAGTCAGACACCACGCTGCTGTGCCTGGGGGAGGAGCAAGTCCGTGAGTTCATTCCGTCCATCCTCCTCCCTCCATCCTCCCACTCCCAGCTGGAGGGAAGCCCTGAGTGAGGGACTCACCCTGACTCACAGACAAGAAGATGTCTCCGTGCCCAGATCCCGAGGCCAGTTACACCTCCCGCCCTAAACTGGGACCACATCAGCTGAGTCAGTAAAAGCCAGGAGAATTTCCTCTTTATAAAGTCCCATGCCCCCCGATCCGTAAGGGGTGCAGCACCCCATATAAGGGGTGTCAGAGCCCTCAGGCTACCGAAACCCTCACCCACGCATTCGTCACATCAAGGCTCGACTACGTGAACTCCCTCCTCATCGGCTTTCCCAACTCTTCCTTTCACAGGCTGCAAATCATCCAAAACTCTGCAGCTCATGTTCTCTCATGCACCAGGCTCTGACCCCATCACTCCCACCCTCGCCCAACTCCACTGGCTCCCCATCCCCCAGAGGATCGAATTCAAGATCCTTGTCCTCACTTTCAAGGCCATCCATGGCTTCGCTCCCTCCTACCTCTCTGACCTGCTGACTCCCTACCAACCTGCCCACTCCCTCCATTCAGCGGGCTCCGGCCTGCTCCATGTCTCCCACCTGACCCATCCTACCATCGGTGGCCGGACTTTCAGCCTCTCTGCCCCCACACTCTGGACCTCCATCCCACAGTCCCTTCGCCTCGCTTCCTCCCTTGCCTCCTTCAAGGCGGATCTCAAGACCCTTCTCTTCGATCGTGCCTTCGGTCGCCCTCCCATTCTCTGCCTTCTCTCACCCCTACACTACTCCTCCCCCATGCTCGGGACCCGACACCTGACTGTTCAACGCTTTGGGACGTCCTCCCGACGTGAAAGGCTGGAAACGCCCTCCTCTAGAGCTATAAATGTAATTTTGTTGTTGTTGTCACGGCCCTGTATAAAAGATGTCTTACTTCTTTAAGGTGATTGTTGTTTTCTGAGCCACCAGGTCCCAGATGAGGACAGTCTTGTCACATGATGAGGTTGCTACGTGATGTATTTCCGGATCGAAGCAGCAACTCATGACAGAACCCTGGTGATGCTCTGTGAGAGAACGGGAGAAGCTGTGAGAATTCTCCTCTGTGTTTAGCCAGCTGGAGCCTGTGGGTTGGTCAGCCACCAGGGATGGTGTGCCACAACACACTCAATTGAGGACTGAAGTCCTATCATTTTCTCTCTGCAATGAGCTGCGCTGAGCTTCACCACTCCTGCCATTATCTATCCAACCGCGGCTGCTGGGAGATGGATAGATTCCAGAGAATTGGAACAGAATGACCTTTATCTGTGCTGTAAATAGCTAATTAGTAGCTAGGTTTGAAATAGTCATGCCAGGGCTGGGCTTTGATTGGTAATGCGCACAGAATTATTTTTTTTTGCCAGATGGATGTCTGACACACTTGGAAAGCTTTCTGGTGTGGCCACCACTCTGCACAGAGACCAGAATGCTACGAAGAGAACCTCAGTCCTATATCCTCCCACTTTCCCCCACCTTCACGCATCTCATCAGAAAACAGGCACCTCGCAGATACACGATCTTTGCCCCCGTCTGGGCATGGCTGATGAGGACGCTGTTGTCTAAATCACTGCCAGACACCACAAGCTTCCCATCCTGAGACACATCACAACACGTCACTAAGCTCCCCATCTGCACCGACCACTGCATAGAGAGAGAGAGAGAGATTAGAGGACAGACACACCTGTAACATCAGCACACTCCCTCACCCCCATCTCCGAGCCACACACACACAGTCTGCCTATGCTGCCTGCACTAATATCACAGAGAGAGCAACTGGGGCTCGGATTCCAATTCCTCAAGCAGAGTTACAAATTGCCTGTGGTTTAATCCTCTTGCTCAAATGTAGTTGACCATTTTCGTAACTGTGTCCATGACATTACTTAGTTTTAGAACACTCTTACAGAGGACCTCTTGGAGGATAATACAGTTTAGAGAAACAATATTCTGTTCTGGATTTGTTTCTTTGACTTGATCTTGAATTATTTTCAGTAACCCAACATTTTTGCCTTTCAGATTCGGGCTTCCATCGGTGGTCACATTCACCAATTTTTTCCACTCCACTCCTAATTTTAAGAAATACTTATTTACTGCCTCCAAAAAGTCTTCTCCAGTTGTCGTATCTTTCATTGACTGCATTGATGCCAATTCTTCTGTGAGCTCAAAATGTTTGGTATACCTCGAATAAAAATTATCAACTGGGCTGTGTCTTTGATATCACAACTCTCTTCCGAGTGCCAGTGAAAAACATGCAAAATTGCTTACTTTATTTTGTAACTGCACACTGTTTTTATTTTCTTGCTTTACTTTATTTTTTAATTTATTTTAATTTTATTTGTTTTATTTTCCACCCACACTGGTAAAAAAAATATTTAGAAGTCCATTCTTTGTCGAATATTCGGCCTTTAGCATCCACTTTCTGCTTCTTTCATAAACTCATTTCGAATTAACATCCTCCTCAGTGAAAAGTATTGCCGCGGTTGCCGCGCTCGAGTTTGTAAATTTGCCGATCCGTACATTCTGGCGTCAGCCTGATTCAGCACCTAAGGGAACGTGTGCACAAATGAGCCGTGTGATTGGCTGATGTTCCCGGTCAGATTCAAATCCGACATTTCTGCGACTTTCTGGGACTGAACGAACTATAATTTTTTTTATTGCTGGACACAATGACGAGCCGGATAGAATCATTTGGCGGGACAGATATGACCCGCGGGTCGTATTTTGCCCACTCCTGGGTTAGATGGTATATCATTGACAGGAACTCCAGCACCTCCTAGTGACCAGGCAGAGCACAGCACCAGTACACTCCTACCCTCACCTCAGTCTCATTGCCAGGGAGGGACACATCTCTGACCACACAGTCTGGGTCCCTGGTGGCATCAGCTGGTGACAGTAGCCTTTTGGAGGAAATATAATTCATTGCACCAGTGACTTTGCACTCAGTTCTCTCCTTGTGTAGGAGCATAGAAAGATTTACTGTTCCCTCCCATATATATAACATGAAACACGGGCCTTCAATCACTGCCCCACCCTCTGGAACTCTATCTTGCAGTCCCTCCGCCTCGCCCCCCTCCCTTTCCTCCTTCAAGACCCATCTCAAGACTCTCCTCTTCAATCATGCCTTTGAATACCCTCCTTCCCCCACCTGCCCTCCACCCTCCCCGATCCCGACCCCCAGCTCGGGTCCGAAACACTGACGCTTTGGGACGTCCTCCCGACGTGAAAAGTGTTATACCAATAATAATAATCCTTGCATTTGATATAGCGCTTTTCATGTCTTCTAGACGTATCAAAGCGCTTCACAGAATTATCTGTTAAGTGAATTGATTGTATATTTGTGGGTGAAACGCTGCAACCAATTGCGCGCAGCAGTGTTCCATAAACTGTCGTGGTTTGAAGTGACCAATTTTTGTTTTTTTTACTTGAGGGATTATTATCAGGCACGTGGAGTAAGGAAACTTGCCCAGGTCTCTCGCTTGTGAGGCGAGTGCTCTAACCACTGAGCTACAGGACTACAGACTAGGCTACAGGAGCTATAGAGCTACACACATGCACACACCTAAATACACGCCTGTGAGTATGTACACTTAACAATTGGACAGGAATTCATAGTCTCGAGCTCCTACAGGAGGAATATTTAATACCTACAATAACTTTTCCTGTTTCTACATCCCAGGCTTTCAGGGTTCTGTCCCAGGAGGAAGTGAAAAGCCTGTGGGTGCAAGCACAGAGGTCGTTCAGAGAGGCACAGGCGACACATCGCTGGCATCAGCGGGCGCTGGACTCTGGCTAAAGTAGCAACGTGGCAGCATTACATCATCTGTAACGTCAGTGACCAGCATTAATACCTCACCTTTTGCCATCAGGACTGAGGCAACACTCCGAGAGTGGCTGTGAGATATCACCTTCATAAACTTGAACTGTAGTGCCACTCGCCACATCCTGGAGCAGAACAAACGTCAAACCTCAGAAATAATATCTCAAAGTCTCAGACATAACATCTCAGATGTAATGAAGTTGAGGTGTTATCGGGTTTGGGTGTTATGGGGTTCGGATGTTTTGGCGTTGGGATGTATTGGGATTCAGATGTATTGGGGTTCAGGTGTAATGGAGTTGGAGTGTTTTGGGGTTCAGGTGTAATGGGGTTGGGGTACTGCACTTGCTGAACTCACCCACAGTCTGGCTGTTTTATCAAATGAACAAGTCAAAAATTTTGTGTTGTCAAAACAGAACTGACAGCTGGTGACAGCGTCAGTGTGTCCCTCGAAGATACGGTACGGAATCTGCAGGAATACAATGTAAAGAGTCTGTGCATCCCCAAACCCTGTCATTCCCACATTGTTCATTCACTGTCTATCACATCAGGCTCATGATGCCAAGGGCACTGCTGAGGATAGACCAGCCAGCCTGGCTCATCAGCAGGGACTTGGAGGGGCAGACCAGGCACTGGAAGCAGGATCTTCCCACCACTTAACCCTACAAGCCAAAGCCCTAACAGATAGAGTGGTCCTAGCTGGACAAGCAGCAGGAAGTTTGCAAGACTGTCCAAAGGAGTCTTGGAGTCCTGTAGCTCAGTGGTTAGAGCATTCGCTTTGCAAGTGAGAGACCTGGGTTCGATTCCCGGCAGGTTGAAACCTTGGGCAAGTTTCCATACTCCACACACCTGATAATAATTCCTCAAGAAAAAACCCCAATAATAAATTGTCATTTTCAATCCATGACTGTTTGTGGGACACTGCTGTGTGCAATTGGCTGCTGCATTTCGCCCACAAATATATACAGTCAATTCACTTTACAGTATATCCCGTGATGCACTTTTGAGACCTCTAGAAGATGTGAAGAGTGCTATATCAAACGCAAGGATTATTATTATTATTATTAAGGCAGTGCTCTCAATGGCAAACTATCCAGTTTTAGTTGATTAGACTCCAACAATTACCCACAAAGGCATAACCTGGGGATCTCAAACCTTGGCTCTTGCCAACCTGAGAATCTGCACCTAATGTGGAATTAGAGAAACAGGATTGGGCGTCCTGGGGCACTGGAGGGTGGGGTGGAGGGGTCACTGGAGGGTGGGGTGGAGGGGTCACTGGAGGGTGGGGTGGAGGGGTCACTGGAGGGTGGGGGGTCAAACCTTGGCCAGGCTCTGGTCCGGACTCTCCTCTTTCGGATCCTGCGGGTTCGGAGGCTCCTGCGGCTCCTCCAGAGCCAGTGGGTGCGGTTGGCAGGGAGACAACATGGCGGCGGCTCCGCGGTCCTCGCTGCCGTAGCAACGCGCCTCCGCCTCACTGCGGCTGCGCAGAGGTGACGCAGAGCAGAAGTTGACGTTTACTCCGAGTTCCGCCGTTACCATAGCGACCGCCCCACGTGCTCAGGTTCCCAGTCCGCCACATGGCGGCGCTGCCACTGCTCACAGCCCCCAACACCCCCACACCACCCCCCACACCCGAACCCCCCCCCACACCCCCAACCCCCCCACACCCCCCCCACCCCCCCACACCCCAACCCCCCCACACCCCCCCCACACCCCAACCCCCCACACCCCAACCCCCCCACCCCACCCCCACACCCAACCCCCCCCCACCCCCAACCCCCCCCCCCCCCCCCAACCCCCCCCCACCCCCCCCCACCCCCCCCACACCCCAACCCCCCACACCCCACCCCCCACACCCACACCCCAACCCCCAACCCCCCCACACCCAACCCCCCCCACCCACACCCCAACCCCCACACCCGAACCCCCCCCACACCCAACCCCCCACACACCACACCCCAACCCCCCACACCCCAAACCCCCCCCCACACCCACACCCCAACCCCCACACCCGAACCCCCCCCACACCCCCAACCCCCCCCCAACCCCCCCCCACACCCCAACCCCCACACCCGAACCCCCCCCACACCCACCCCCCCCCACCACCCATACCCAACCCCCCACCCCAACCCACCCCCACCCCAACCCCCCCCACCCCCACACCCCAACCCCCCACCACCCCAACCCCCCACACCCCAACCCCCCCCACACCCCAACCCCCCCACACCCCAACCCCCCCCCCCCACACCCCAACCCCCCCCCCACCCCAACCCCCCCCCACCCCCCAACCCCCCCCCCACCCACCCCCCCACACCCCAACCCCCCCCCCACCCCCCACCCCCCCCCCCCCCCCCCCCCCCCCACCCCAACCCCCCCCCCCCAACCCCCCCCACACCCCCCCCCCACCCCCCCCCCCCCCACCCCCCCCCCCACACCCCCCCCACACCCCAACCCCCCCCCCCACACCCCCAACCCCCCCACACCCCAACCCCCCCACACCCCAACCCCCCCACACCCCCAACCCCCCCACACCCACCCCCACACCCCCCCCCCCCCCCCCACACCCCCCCCACCACCCCCACCACCCCCCCCCCCCACCCCCCAATACCAAGTCGTGACACTGCTAAATTCTGAGACATTCAGCACCAGTGTAATTAAAGCATTTATTGCAGCAACATCTGACACTAGAAAACTTTGTACACACAATCCTGGTTTATATTCCAATATGGCGAGACTCTCTGTTCAAATACAAGTCCTCTCTGAGGAAGAGGTCATTCCCAGGGAAAAGGGGACGGAAACAGGAGGAATTCTGTCACTCAGCTGGAGAGAAGGGTCAAGTCCTCTCCCTCCACCCACACACACACACCCACCCACACACACGCGCACACTCTCACACGCAGACTAGTGAACTCCTGTTCCAGGTGTTTTCCGGCCATTGTGCCATTAACTCTTTGGGTGCTGTAAGAGTTTCACTGCAGCAAAATAAAATCCAACAGCAGCAAATAGTTACATTTATCCCAGGAATTCACCAGAAAGTCATGTCTACCCAACAATGGTCACCCATTAGTCAAGCGGCAATCCTTGGGGAGTTGAAGGCCAGGATCCTGCCGGTCACACCAGGGCCAAATGATTTGTCGGATTGGTGTAGTGTAGGACAGCCAGTGCTGAAATGATTAACAGAGCCCAGCTACCCTGGGCTGCTTCCCTGGGTCGATTTGCTGGCATTAAGTGTTCCTGGACTGCTTCTTTTCCAAGCCTGTGGCCTGGGATCTTGTGTGACTGGATCCTGGGATGGTGGCAGAGTCTCCGGGAGCCAAGGAGAGTCAGGAGCAGAGCCAACCTCACAAAGCGATCAGACAGCGCTCACTACCTATAGATACAAACTCGGTGCTTCACAGGAATAGCTTCCAATCTGTGAACAAGCAGAATACAGTCAACATATCATTTTTCAGTTCTGATGAAAGATCATTGACTTGAAACGTTAACTCACTTTCCTCTCTCTATAGATGCTGCCTGATCTGCTGTGTGTTCCCAACGACTTCAGTTTTTATTACAATCAACATATACGCAATCAGTGCACGGGAGCTGCTCACACTTGTGCGAACAGGAGGCCATTCAGGTTACCACAACAACAACTTGGATTTATATAGCGCCCTCCACGCCGGACCAAGTCTGTTTCACCGGTTTATTAGATCAGGGCAGACACACACTACCACCTGTACCGTCCCAGGGAACTGAGGAGAGGGTTTCCCTTCCAGCTGACTCGGTTGCCGCAGTTCTCCCTCCAGGCCTCCAGCAATCACTGAGTGACTAGGAGGAGCTGGAACCAGCGCAGCCTCACTCACTTCTTCAGCAGCAGCGAGGGCCCTGGTCCTCACTGTCCCCCGAGCTGCTCCCACTCCCTCGGCCGGCTTCGGTGATGCTCTTTCTTGTGCTTTTTTTTCTGGAGGAAAGAAGGTATATCAAGTCATCACAGACCCACAATCCACTCCCTTACTGCCACCCCCGCGCACACCCACCCCTCACATCAGGCACGTGACATACACACAAAGTCATATCAGACTGGGATAAGACTGGGGATGGATCACTAACCTTCTTCTTGTGCTTGGGGTCTTTCCTTCCCCTGTGCTTCTCTTTGTGTTTTTTTTTCTGTTTCTCTTTGTGCTGAACGGAGGCCGATGGTTGTGGTGTCTGAGTCTCGCTCCCCAGGGCAGCACCTGCAGCTCCTAGTGAAACACACAATCCCTAAGCACAAACACACAATAGCTCCTCACTGCCACAGTCAATCCTGGGCAGGAAGGAAGACAGCAGCACTCGGGTATGTAACTCACCTGCTCTTGAGTATAACATTCACCTACCAGACACACTCCTATTGGTCAGTCACTGCACGGTCAGTCACTACACACAGGAAGTCGGTCCCTCCACGTGAGAGAGAGGTTTTGATGTGTTGTATTACTGGTCACAGTGGATGGCAAGGCTGGGAACATGGAGACACTTTATGACACTCACCACAGAGATGTGCTGGCGGAAGCTTAGGCCCGAACTCCTCCTCAGCCGCTTCCTGCTCCCCACCCGGTGCCGCCACAGGCCTGGACCCCACCTCCCGAGACTCCGCTTCCTGTGGCCTACATCCTTGCTGCTTCCCTAAATGTGGGATTGACAACAACTTTCAGTCTAAATGTACAGCTCAACATTACACCTACACAGCATCTCAGCAAAGCTCTCTCTATACTGTGCATCCACACTCCCAGGTCAGGGTTAGAGACCCTTTTTATGCTATCACAGTACAGCTGAATGACCGTGTGAGACAGGCAGTTGAGCTGACCTGTGGGGTCTGGGCAGGGATGGGGTGTGGCTACAGCAGCTTCTGTGACTGCTTCCTCCTCTTCCTCCTCGTCCTCTGAGGAAGAGGAAGATGATTTTTCATCTGACGAGCTTGCGAAGATGGCTTTGAACAAGTCTATCGATGGTCTGCTCTCCTCCAGTTCCCTCTCAACGTCCATCTGCAAGAAGCAAAATGTGAAAATGTAAACTGACAGGGCGGGGCCACAGTGCCACAGGGCGCGGCAGAGAGCTGAGGCAGAGTGACACGGGGGTGGAACAACGGTGGAGAGAGGGCGGGGGAGCGGGGCAGAGTGATGGGGTGGGGGCGGCAGGTCATTAGTATGGACTGGAGCTGCCTCAGGACTGCACCTCCTTGGGGAGGGGCTCCGTGCTCTCTGGCTCCACCCCCGACTCGCCGCGTGGGTTTGGATGGGGTCCTGGGGGTGTTCCTGTTCGGGCTAACGTCAAGAATTCACTGATGGAATCTTTCTCCTTCTCCTTCTCCTCGGCTGACACATCCCACCTGGAACGTCTCCTCGGATTGGAGCCTGAGGAGCGACATCAGAGACTCAGCTACAGGAGGCAGGAGTCATGCTCTCACACAGTCACACACACACTCACTCACACACAGTCACACACACACTCGTCACACACACACTCGTCACACACACACAAACAGTCACACATACAGTCATACAGTTACACACATTCACACACACAGTCACACACACACAGCCACACTGACAAACATACTGACACAGACACTCACATGGACACCCTGACATTGCTGACACTCACGGATACAGTTTGGAGCCGGGGCGGTGGCTGGGGCGGGGGCTGTGGGTGAGGCTGACACAGCCGGGTCAGGGGGGTTCTGGGGCACAGTCAAGAAATTAAACACCGAGAACTTGTCACGTTTGACTTTGAGCAGCCCGACCAGCGGTGCCCTGCGGAGACAAACCCACAACAGTCAGCCCCGTCTCCCAGATCCCCACCTCCCCACGGCACAATGCAACAGTGATACGTCCTTCCCGGGGGATACCTGGGGTGTGACAGGGGTGTGTATGTTGGGTGTGTGTGTGACGGGGAGGTGTGACGGGGATGTTACATACCCGGGGTAGGGGTCGGGGACGTTGAAGCGTTTACACAGCACTGTGTGCGGGTGCCACTCAAACGTGTCCCTGGTGAGCTGCCCGAATAGCTTCATCTTCACAGCCACCTCTTTGTCATCAACATCACCCTGTGTGGAGAGAGAGAGTGAGTCAAAGAGAGAGAGACAGAAAGAGAGAGAGCGAGAAAGACAGACAGTCAGAGAGAGAGAGAGAGAGAGAGAAAGGCAGAGAGTGAGGCAGACACAGAACAGACTGTGAATGAGTGGAACAGAGAGTTAGTAAGACAGAGACACTAATCACACATTGGGCTCCCACACTGCCCTGGCTCGATGTTACCTCCTGCTCCGCAGGAACCTCCACGGTGTCCACACTGTCCTCGACCCGGGCATGAGTGAAACGCGAGGCGAGGGCGGTGTTGACCGGCTGGAACAGAGTTGCTGATCGCACAAACTCCTCCCGTTCCCGGCCCCTTTCCCACTCCGTCTGACTGGCATCCAGGCAGCTGTCCAGTGCATCTGCTCACAGCACAGTCATAATAATCATAATAACAGTCATAATAATAATCATAATAATCATAACAATATTCATAATAATCACAACAATCATAATCATTATAACCATAATCACAATAATCATAATAATAATCATAATAATAATCTGCTGAACGGAAGGAGTGGACTGGCTGATTCGGGGTTATGAGGTCGGAGAGGTGGGGGGAGCAAGACCATGGAGGGCTTTGAAGGTGAGAATGAGGGTTTTGTATTCGATTCTCTGAGGCATGAGTAAAGCAGGGCAAGAATGGGGGCGACAGGTTCCCGGAGCCTGGTGTGGGAGAGGACACGAGCTGCAGAGTTCTGATAATCTGCAGTTTGTGAGGAAAGAGTTGGGAAGCCTAGTGAGCAGGCAGTTGGTGTAGTCAAGCCGGAACATGATGTTAGCGTGGATCAGGGTCTCGGTGGCCTGCGATGAGAGGCAGTGGTGGAGGTAGGCAATGTTGCGGAGGTGTGGAAAGGTGGAAAGGGTCACGAATGTGGGGTTTGAAGGATAGCTGAGGGGCGAAAGTGCACCGAGGTTTCGGATTGGCTCAGTGAGGTGTTGACATGAAGCCATGAATGGTGATAGTGTCAGCGGCGTAATAATAATAATCCTAACAATAATCATAATAATAATCCTTGCATTTGATATAGCGCCTTATCACATCTTCAAGACATCTCAAAGCGCTTCACAGAATATACTGTAAAGTGGATTGACTATATTTTGTGGGCAAAACACGGCAGCCAATTGCGCACAGCAGCGTCCCACAAACAGTCATGGATTGAGTGACCAAGTGGGAGGTGGGGGTATGAGAGGGAAAGTGATCACTAATCGACAGTACACATGGAGCACACAGCGCAGAGCACCTGTCAGCAGTTGTTAGTAACTTACCGCTGCGTCCGGCCTGAAGCCTCTCTAGGTACATCTCATATCTCCTCTGTTTCTCAGGCAGCTTTACGAAGGGTTTAAACTGTCCGGTCACTCCAGGCTCCAGGTGCAGAGAGTCGCTGGAAGCTGGTGTATGCCAGGGACCCGTCAGTGCCGGCCGGACAGGCAATGGAGCACGGGCACCGGGCTGGGCACCTCTCTGCTGCGCCTCCTTCAGTCGCTCCTTGTCCTTTTCAGTTAGGAGGTCAAACACAGAGCTGGGACCTGGTGAAGGGAACAGCGATCAGTCACGGCCCCCAGCGCTCATCAGCAACACCAACAGTCGCGTGTGAGTGTCTGAAACCTCGGCCACTAATAATAATAATCCTTAAATTTGATATAGTGCCTAATCACGTCATTGAGACATCTCAAAGTGCTTCACAGAATATACTGAAGAGTGTAGGGACTGTATATTTTGTGGGAGAAATGTGGCAGACAATTGTGTACAGATTGTCTCACACACAGTCGTTCATTAAGTGACCATATTATTATTTTTGAAGGGATTATTACTCCCAGAAAAGCGATCTGCCAATCAATTAACAAATGGGTTCCTACTTACTGCTGGGTGACGGGGTATGTGAGGGGTGGGGGGATGAAGGGGTGTGTGAGGGGTTGGGGGGTGACGGGGTGTGTGAGGGGTGGGGGGGGTGAAAGGGTGTGTAAGGGGTGGGGGGGTGAAGGTGTGTGTGAGGGGTGGGGGGGTGACAGGGTGTGTGAGGGTTGGGGGGTGACAGCATGTATGAGGGGTGGGGGGGTGATGGCATGTGTGAGGGGTGGGGGTGTGTGAGGGGTGGGGGGTGACGGGGTGTGTGAGGGTTGGGGGGGTGACAGGGTGTGTGAGGGGTGGGGGGGTGACAGGTTGTGTGAGGGGTGGGGGGGTGACAGGGTGTGTGAGGGGTGGGGCGGTGACAGCATGTATGAGGGGTGGGGGGGTGATGGCATGTGTGAGGGGTGGGGGGTGACGGGGTGTGTGAGGGGTGGGGGGTGATGGCATGTGTGAGGGGTGGGGGAGTGACGGGGTGTGTGAGGGAGTGACGGGGTGTGTGAGGGAGTGACGGGGTGTGTGAGGGAGTGACGGGGTGTGTGAGGGTGGGGGGTGACAGGGTGTGGCCGGGCAGTTGTTGGCTGGTACCTGGCAATGGGGCCTCCCCCAGGCACTGCTGTCTGTGAGCCGCGGTGAGCTGGTGCCGGCCGGTGGCTGTGGGCTCGGTGCTGAGCTGTCCGCTGGACGCCTGCAGAGCCTGTGCCAGGGCCGAGCTGCCGAGCCCCGAAGTAACCACAGGCCTGAAGTAATGGAACGGGCTGTAACCCCGCGGCAGCTCAGGGGCCTCGTACACCTGTACAGACCGAGAGAACATTCAGCAGCTCGCAGTCACCGCCCCCAGCCTGCTAGCCCCCACCACCCTTCTAGCCCTCCCCACAGCCTGCTAGCCCCCACCACCCTTCTAGCCCCTCCCCCCTGCTAGCCCTCCCCACAGCCTGCTAGCCCCCGCCACCCCCCCCGCCCTGCTAGCACCTCCCTGTCCTGCTAGCTCCTCCCCACCCCACTAGCCCCCCCACACCCCTTTCCGACCACCAGCTCCACCCTCTCCTTGCCCCCCCCAGCAGAGCATTCAATAACCCACCAGCACGGCCCCCACTAGCCCCTCCCCTGGCCTGCAAGCCCCTCCCCAGTTAGCCCCTCCCTAACTACCAGCCCCTCCCTCTTCCTGCCCCCTCCTACACCGGAGAGAGCATTCACCAGCATTGGCCACCCTAGCCCACCCCCCCCACCATCATCGCCCCCTCCCCCTTGCTAGCCTCTCCCTCTCGGCCCCTGGCAGACTGACCTGTCTGGGAGCAGCTGGTTGTGTTGTGGGAGAGAATCCCTCCACCACTTTCCCTAGGAATGCTGAGCTCTGAGCTGAACCTGGAATGAAATCCCAAGTGTTGTTTAGCCTGGAGCAGTGGTTTGGAGATGGCCATCCCATAATAAGCACAGTGTCCCAGGCCCTGGTTACCTCTCATTGCCGCCCGGTCGTGTCGAGGGGCCGTCCAGCCATACAGCCTGTCCCCAGGTTCCTCCTCCCCCAGCACGTGGTCGTACCTCGCCAGGGAGTCTGTGCCGTAAACATCCTCATCCTCCTCCTCCAGAGCCCCCACTCCAAACCCCTGAGAACAGAGAGCACACATCACTCCCAAGAACACAGCAGCCACGCCCCCCCCACCCACCGAGAACACACACCGCACGTGTCTCAGCCGTGCCTTCAGTCACCTTTCAACCCCCAACCTCCCCACCCTCCACCCCCTCCTGAACCCAACCCCCAGCTCGGGTCCAAGTCCCTGACTGTCAGGAGCCTTGGGACATCCTCCCAAAGTGAAAGGCGCTGCGTAAATGCAACCTGTTGTTGTTGTTGTTGTCACCCCATGAACAGCGCACAGTTTGTGTGACCTCAGCCACGTACCTGCCCGGTGATGCCCAGTTTCCGGCCTTTGCTGGAGTGAATGTCGCCCAGTAGAGAGCGTGCCCTCTCTGAGCCTAGGTCCAGCAGGTGAGGGTCTCCGCGAGGGGCCGCTGTGTACAGGGCGAGGCTGGGGTCCAGCCCGCTGTAACCTAATCCGTGTCGATCATCCTTCACACTAAACACAACCGGAATCACATCCTTCGGGGCAAACGTCACGTTATTGGGCTGATCATCGTCTTCCTCCTGGGGGTCAGACACAGAACTAGCAGTTTGTACACAATAAACTCCTGCCATCTCATACAGCGTATCCCACATCACAGAGCACCTCACAGTAATCAGTCAGTGTTTGGCTGCAGCTAACTGACAGTTATCCGTTCACATCAGCATCCCATACAGGAAGTGAATGAGGGAGAAATAGGTGACCCGAGAAAATCCTGTTTCTTTTCCAATAGTGTCACGGCATCGCTGATACACAGACAGACAGGACCACACTTAACCTCTCAGCCAAACAACAGCATTTCAGACAATTGAGTGTCAGCCAGGCCTGCAGCTCAAGGCCCTAAGCTGGGGCTTTGGACCCACAATCTTTGACCAGAAGGTGAGAGCGTGAGAGATTGAATCAGCTCAGGACACTGTGAGCAGGAGCACATTCAAATCCCAATCCCGATCCCAGGCACACAGCCCGCCGGATGTCAGGATGCTACGAGCAAGTGGGGAAGGCAGCAGACACGCCCGGAACTCACCTGGGACCCATCTGAGCCGGTGGCCGGCAACGCACAGCCGTAAATCTCCACAATAGCACCTGCCGCGGAGAAATAGCAGGTTAGCAAAAGGCCCGGCCTAACTCCCAGTGCATCTGTGTGTGGAGGTGGGAGGGAGATGCTGGGATGTGTGTGCGCGGGCAGAGTGGGGTGTGGGGGAGATGGTGCGGGAGGGGGAGATGGTGCGGGGTGGGGTGCAGGGGGTGGGGGAGATGGTGTGGGGGGGGGGGGGAGATGGTGCGGCGGGGGGAATGGTGTGGCGGGGAGATGGTGCGGGGGGGGAGATGGTGCGGGGCGGGGGGATGGTGCGGTGGGGGAGATGGTGCGGGGGGGGAGATGGTGCGGGGGGGAGATGGTGCGGGGGGGGAGATGGTGCGGGGCGGGGGGATGGTGCGGAGGGGGGATGGTGCGGGGGGAGAGATGGTGCGGAGGGGGGGATGGTGCGGAGGGGGGGATGGTGCGGGGGGGGAGATTATGCGGAGGGGGCATTCCTCACCGAGTTTTTGACGTTGATGTCGTTTCCTCCCCACCCGTGGCCCGAGCCCCTGACCTTCTTTCCAGCCCATTCTGCGTAGTAACTGCACCCCCAGGGTCTCCCTGTAAAACACTTACAATTACTGTCACTCTACGTTTGCCAACAACCACCACCATCACAGTCGTGTTCAAATCCCTTCACTCCCTGGCACCTCCCAACCTCTCCAACCTCCTCCGCCTTGCCCCCTCTCTCTCCTTTTTTAAGTGCCGCCTGAAAACCTTCCTCTTCGACCGTGCTTACGGCCACCTCCCCCCCCCCAGCACAGAGTCAGGCTCCCCCTCTGGAAAGCTCTGAGACGCTGCTCTGCGTGGAGGGCGCTATATAAGTGCAAGTTGTTATTGATTTTTTGACCCATCATTATCGTCCTCCTCCTGCATTCTGACCATGTTATAAATTGATGCCTTGTGACCCAATGTAACATAGAGACCACTCCCGGCTTTCCCCACTGCCTGGCCCCTAGCAAGCAGGCTGTCTGAGCCCCGGGAACACACTCACTTTGCCGGGGATATCAAATCGTCCAGGATGGTGGCTTCCGGGATTGGTGCTGTCACCGCAGCCAACGCTCGCGCCTTGTCCCGGATTTTGTCAGTGGACTTGGAGGCGAAGCTCTCCCTGGTGCTGATCCGTGTTGGTGCAATTCCATGTTCGTTCAAATCCTTCAAAACACAACGCAGTCAGCACGGGGCAGGGTGGGGCCGGGAGTCAGGGTGGGGCCGGGGGAGTCGGAGCGGGGCCGGGGGAGTCGGAGCGGGACCAGGGGGAGTGGGGGCCACCACAAGCTCTCACTGAGGATCAGATTTTTTCACCTCTTCGTCCATGAAATCTTCCGGCCGGTATTGCTGAGTCTCAGCTTTCTGTTGCCGTGATGACACAAAGGTTGCCGGCGTCCAACCTAAAGATAACGTGTACAGTCACCGCCCAACCTCACCGGCACCGCGCTGCACCGCGTGTTCACGGTAATTAACAGATAATAATAATAATAATAATCCTTGCATTTGATATAGCGCTTTTCACGTCGGGAGGACGTCCCAAAGCGCTTCACAGAACACACTGTAAAGTGAATTGACTGTATATTTGTGGGCGAACGCGGCAGCCAATTGCGCACAGCAATGTCCCACAAACAGTCGTAGATTGAGAATGACCAATTTATTATTGTTTTTGGTTTTGGAGGGATTATTATTAGGCTCTGTGTGGAGTAAGGAAACTTGCCCGAGGTTTCGCCCTCTGCCTGGGCTTGAACTCAGGTCTCTCACTCGCAAAGCGAGTGCTCTAACCACTGAGCTGCAGGACTCCGGCCTCTGGCATTCCTCACCTTCTCGGGAGCCCACGGAGTTGAAATAACCGGCAGAGAAGCCTCCGGTGAAGGCTCCGTGGAAACGCTGGTAACGCCCACGTTCGTCTCTCACCGTCTGCTCCTGCAGCGGCTTCTTCCTGTCCACAGCGTCTGCCGACACAATACAGACCATCACTGTGGTCACCGGACAGTCACAGTCACCGCGACACTCAACCAACATTGACCGACATTTACACAGCGCCCGTCACCGGAGGGGAGAACCTCGGAGCGAACAGCAGTTTGGTACCGAACCGGAGAAGGTGTCCATAGGTCAAAGAGCTATGACCTGAAGATGGGGGAAGGAGGGGGTGAGGCGGAGGGACTGAGGGAGAGCGTTGCAGAGTGTTGGGGCGCAGTGGCTGAAAGTGTGGCCACCAATGGTGGATTGGAGGGCCCGAGGGCCGCACAGGCGGCGGCGGTGGGTTTGGGGAGTGAGGAGGTCAGAGAGAGAGGTGTCAGAGCGCGTGTGGACCGGGAGAGGATCCGGTGGAGGCGGCGAGGACTCGGCTGATGGAGGCGCGGAGTTCAGGGTCAGGTCCCGGTGGAGCTGTTCTGGACACAGTCACAGTCACTACACCCCACAGTCTCTCACTCCGCGCCGCGGCCTCGGGGACCTTCTGCCTGGGGTCGGGCCCCGGGAAAGCGCGGGGCTGAGGCCTGGAGCCAGGAGTTGGAGCGGCTCCCGCGTGATTCCGAGGCGGCGGCCCGGCTCCCAGGCCCGGGGTGACCCACCTTCTGGCAGCGGCTCCAGCGGAGTCCCGCAAAGCGGCCATTCCCCCGCCTCCTCCTCACTGTCCGCGTCCAGAGCCGCCATTGTTGGTCTACCGTGGCCTCTGCTCCCCGCGTCCCCGCCAGAGGGCGCTGCTCCCCGCGTCCCCGCCAGAGGGCGCTGCTCCCCGCGTCCCCGCCAGAGGGCGCTGCTCCCCGCGTCCCCGCCAGAGGGCGCTGCTCCCCGCGTCCCCGCCAGAGGGCGCTGCTCCCCGCGTCCCCGCCAGAGGGCGCTGCTCCCCGCGTCCCCGCCAGAGGGCGCTGCTCCCCGAGTCCCCGCCAGAGGGCGCTGCTCCCCGCGTCCCCGCCAGAGGGCGCTGCTCCCCGAGTCCCCGCCAGAGGGCGCTGCTCCCCGCGTCCCCGCCAGAGGGCGCTGCTCCCCGAGTCCCCGCCAGAGGGCGCTGCTCCCCGCGTCCCCGCCAGAGGGCGCTGCTCCCCGCGTCCCCGCCAGAGGGCGCTGCTCCCCGCGTCCCCGCCAGAGGGCGCTGCTCCCCGCGTCCCCGCCAGAGGGCGCTGCTTCTCTGCACATTCACAACCTCAGTCAATATTCACTGCCCGTTTGTTGCAGAATAATATAATAATAATAATCCTTGCATTTGATATAGCGCTTTTCACGTCGGGAGGACGTCCCAAAGCGCTTCACAGAACACACTGTAAAGTGAATTGACTGTATATTTGTGGGCGAACGCGGCAGCCAATTGTGCACAGCAATGTCCCACAAACAGTCGTAGATTGAAAATGACCAATTTATTATTGTTTTTATTGGTTTTGGAGGATTATTATTAGGCTCTGTGTGGAGTAAGGAAACTTGCCCAAGGTTTCGCCCTCTGCCTGGAATTGAACTCAGGTCTCTCACTTGCAAAGCGAGTGCTCTAACCACTGAGCTACAGGACTCCAGAATCACAAAATTCCTGACAACAACAACAAAATTACATGTGTAAAGCGCCTTTCACGACGGGAGGACGTCCCAAGGCGCTGGACAATCAGAGTTTGGGACCCGAGCTGGGGGTGGGATCGGGGTTGGGTGGAGGGTAGGGGAGGAGGAGATTAACCAAAGGCACGGTCGAAGAGGAGGGTCTTGAGACAAGATTTGAAGGAGGCAAGAGAGGGGCCGAGCCAGGGGGACTGCAGGATGGAATTCCAGAGGGGGGGGCAGAGTGGCTAAAGGCCCACCAATGGTGGGACAGGGGAGGCGGGGGACATGAAGGAGGCCGGAATCCACTGAACAGAGGGAGCAGGCAGGTGGATAGGGGGTTAGGAGGTCGCAGACGTAGGGGGGAGCAAGGCCATGGAGGGCTTTGAAAATGATGACCAAGATCTTGAACTGAATCCTCTGTGTGATGTGGAGTCGGGTTAGGATGTGGGTGATAGGGTCGCGGAGCCTGGTGCGGGAGAGGACACAGGCTGCAGAGTTCTGGATGATTTGCAGCCTATGGAGGGAGCAGTTGGGGAGGCCAAGAAGCTGGAAGTTTGCGTTGTTGAACCTGGATGTTATGAATGTGTAGATTGGTGGCCTACAATGTGAGACAGTGGTGGAGTTGAGCAATGTTGCAGAAGTGGGGAAAGGCGGAGTGGGTCATGGCATGGATGTAGGGTATGAAGGATAATTGAGGTTCGAACAGGATGCTGAGGTTCTGTATTGGCTCTGTGAGATGCAGTGTGCATCCATGGAGGGAGACGCTGTCAACTCCTAAGGTATGGTGGCGTTGACAGGAGCCAAGCAGGAGGTCCTTGGTCTTGTTGACATTCAACTGCAGGAAGTTAGCTCTCATCCAGGACTTGATGTCTGTCAGGCAGTCTGTGAGGACAGCAGTGGTCCTGGAATCAAGAGTGGAGGCAAAGATGTAGAGTTAAGTGTCATCCACACATGTGCAAGTTGATCCCATGTCTGCGGACGATGTCACCAAGGGGGAAGCATATAGATATTGAAAAGGAGAGGACCAAGGACAGAGCCCTGAGGGACACCACATGTGACGATATGGGGGCTGGAGGAGAAGCCTCCAGTGGCGACAAAGTGGAGACAGTGGGAGAGTAAGACACCACCTACTGGAGTGGGCCATCTCATTGTATCTCATCATTCCACAACCCTGTCAACCGTCCTCCCACCAATCGTCATGGCATCCTGGGGCAGTGAAGTCACCTCGGGGATGAACTGGCTCCAAGTTGACATGTTTGCAACAGAATGTCAGAATCGAGCCAACCCTCTGTGATGGTCTCAGTTTCTGAACCCGTATTCCAGGGCACTGCTGATGACAGTAGAGCCAGCCTGGCTCATTGGCAGGACCTGGAAAGGAATACCAATCACTGGGGCCAGGTAATCCTCCTACTCAGCTCCTGTTAGGTGCTCCGGGTGCTAAATAAATGCAAGTTACTGTTGCTAACCCTGCAAGCCAAAACCCTTATGGACAGGGTAGTCCCCATTGACAGTGATTTCAATGGCAAGCGATATGGTTTTAGCTGGTTAAGCTCCAGTAATACACCAACACACACTCTGGGGTCCCCAAGCCTGGACTCTTCCCAACCTGCGTCTACTATTCCTTGCCATTAGGTAACCAGGGAAATAAAAACATAAGAGAACACTACCCCCCAACTCGCGTGGTCTGACCGTGTGAGCTCAGTCCGGGTGCTGTTTGCCCTCTACCCCTCGTGGCCAGGGGTGGGGGTAAGCGGGTGGGGAGAATATTTGTGGTGAATGATTGATGATGAGATGTGCACTGGGGGTGGGGCCGACACACATTGAGTTACGTGCAGGAGGCGGGGCCTGGGCAGGTGCGGCGCTCACACAGGTGAAGGGTTGAGAACACCTGAGACCCACACAGACAGAGAGAGAGACCCACACGGGGAGTCTGACACTCTCTCTCTCTCACACACACACACTGTCTGGCACTGTCTTACACACACACCCCAAGAGTGGGGCAGCGGTCGGCCAGACCCCGGGAGGAGGGCTTGAGGGGGAGCAGAGCCGGATCTGGGCTCCCGTGTCCGGGCGGCGCTTTTCGTCCTTTTTACCCGATTCCCGGCGCCGCGATGACCGACACCATCCAACCCGCGGGCCGCAGCGACAGCTACTTCCGAAAGGTGCGTCTGTGAGTGTGAGTGTGTCACACTGAGTGTGTCACTGTGTCTAAGTGTGTCACTGTGTGTCAGTGTGTCTAAGTGTGTCACTGTGTGTGTCTAAGTGTGTCACTGTGTCAGTGTGTCTATGTGTGTCACTGTGTGTGTGTGTCACTGACTAAGTGTCACACTGAGTGTGTCATTGTGTCTGAGTGTGTCACTGTATTTGTGAGTGTGTCACACTGAGTATGTCACTGTATCTCTGAATGTGTCACTGTGAGTGTGTCACTGTCACAAGCTACCGCTCTGCGCTGAGCAATTGTGCACACAATCTTTCACTGTTTCACCCACAAAATACACAGTCACTCCAATTTACAGTATATTCTGTGAAGCACTTTGAGACGTCTCAACGATGGGATAAGGCGCTGGTATCAAATGCAAAGATTGTGTTTAATTGCTCTGTAAATAAACGTAATGTGACAGTTACCGCCTGGTAACATGGGGGAGGTCAAAATTCCAGTCTCTCTCTAGGAGGGTGGGGCAGCTTCACCCGCGCTGTGGTTCACCTGCTCACTACCTGTGCCAAGCCCTGGGCACCACTCACTAACTGTGCCGGGTAGGGGAAAGTGCATGGGCTGACACTGTTGTGTGTTCCAGGGCTGTAATCCGTGCGCTCAGACTGGACGCAGCAAACTCCAGAGTAAACGAGTGACTCTGAACCAGCAAATCATCAAAGCCGTGAGGCTGCGAGCGGGTGCCGAGAACCTGCTGCGGTGAGTCTGCATGGGGAGGGGCTGCGGGGGCTGAGGTGCTGCAGAGGGGCTGGGTGCTGGGGACTTGGAGTTGGGACCACAGGTGGAGGTTACAGAGATGGAGAGATAGTGAGGCAAGAACAGACTGACGTCAGTGTGACCTTGTGCCTAGTGACGTGCTCACTCGCGGGGAAGCTGTGCAGCAGGTTTTACTGGTGCAGCGAGAGCAATACATTCCCTGCATACCAGCCAGCCCACGGGGGGATCAAAATGGGGAGGATACGATGAGGGGGGAATGGATTCCAGCCCACAATAAGTGGAGGAGAACGGGTGGGGGCAACAAAATGCTGAGCTTTGTGATGGGGAGAATCCTGATCTGAGCTGGAACCTGTGTGACCTGTGATCTGCGTGTCTCCAGAGCAACGGACAACGCCAAGGTGCGGGACCTGGCGCTGGTGGAGCTGAGCTACGTCAACTCTGACCTGCAGCTGCTGAAGGAGGAGCTGGAGGGGCTGAACAGCTCCGTTGAAGTTTATCAGAACCAGGAGTGAGTTTCCACCATCGTGGAGTCCCGTAGTGTATTGGTTAGCGCGCTCGCCTCGCAAGCGAGAGGACCTAGATTTAATTCCCGGGCAGGACGAAATATTGGGCAAGTTTTCTTGCTCCCCATGCCTCTGTTTACCCAGCAGTAAGTAGAAAGCTGGTTATTAGTCAATTGGCAGATTGCTTTTCCGGGGATAATAATCCCTTAAAAAAATCCATGACTGTTTGTGGGACACTGCTGGCTGCCACGTTTTCCTCACAAAATGTAGTCAATTCACTGTGTGCCCGTGTGTGTGTGTGATTTTGTGTGCGTGTGCACTGATGCTGATGTCTGGCACTGGGTGTCTGTGTTACAGGGAGATGCTGACAATCCCATTCATCCCATTGGGCCTGAAGGAGACTCGGGAGGTGGATTTCATGACCCCTTTCAAAGTAAGTCTATATGAATTTAAATCACTTTACTCCCATCCCCTGCCCCAGCCTCTGGCTGCAGTGTGACACTGATACTAACACTGACATGGATCCTCGTCTCCAGGATTTTATTCAGGAACATTACAGTGAGGAGCCATCTGCATATGAAGACAGTATCCTGGATGTGATGGACCTGCGGCAGGTGAGTGGCCTTGGTGGAGGGGGACTGCTGCAGGGCTCTGGGGGAGGGCGATGGGGGCTCTTGTCTGGGGGGCTGGAAGCCGTGGGGCTTGGGGGGCTGGATGGTGGCTCTGGGGTGGAGGGCTGACCTCTGTCTCTCTGGCACAGGCTACCCGCACCCCGAGCAGGGATGAGGCTGGGGTGCAGCTGCTCATCTCCTATTACAATCAGCTCAACTTACTGGAGAACCGGCTCTTCCCCCCCAGCCGTCACCTGGGCATCTTCTTCACCTGGTAACAGCCTACACGCATGTCTATGCACCAGAATGTCTGTGTGTCTGTGCACTAGGGTGTCTGTGCACCAGGATGTCTGTGTCTGCGTGTGTGTCTGTGCACCAGGGTGTCTGCGTGTGTGTCTGTGCACCAGGGTGTCTGCGTGTGTGTCTGTGCACCAGGGTGTCTGTGCCAGGGGTATGTGTGTGTGCGTGCATTTGAGTGTGTCTACATGCTTGCATATGTCTGCATGCGTGTGTGTCTGTGTGGGTTATGGCTTTATTCACATCATGCTGTGCTTGCCTGGCAGGTATGACTGTTTCACTGGCGTGCCCGTGTGCCAGCAGCACGTGGGGCTGGAGAAGGCCAGCATATTGTTTAACATTGCAGCACTGCACACACAACTCGGTGCCCGCAGTGACCGGAGCTCCATGTCAGGCCTGGACACTGCCATCCTCGCCTTCCAGCGCGCCGCAGGTCAGTCACCGCATTGCGGGGCCCGGCTCACACAAGGTCTAGATGTTTCCACTGGCACCAGGGAGACTGTGCTGGTGATGGGTGAGGAGGGCACCAACACCCCCCTCCCTCATTGTCTGTCACTCTGCTCCACACCTGGGAAGTGCACGTGTTGCTGGCATGTGCTTTGCATGTTGCTGGCGTGTTAATCATGTGTGCTCTACATGTTAATCATGTGTGCTACATGTTAATTGTATGCGATGTGTGTGCTAATGGCGTGTATTGTGTGTTATAGGCGTGCTGAACCACCTGAGGGAGGTGTTCACACATACGCCGAGCTTTGACTTGAGCCCGGCCATGCTGCATATGCTGTCCCTCCTGCTGTTGGCTCAGGCACAGGAGTGTGGCTTCCAGCGGCAGGTCCTGCCCGGTGTCCCCAATCAAGTCCCCAGTCTCCTGTTCACAGCACAGGGGGCAGCCAAGGTACCTCCTGCCTGTCACTCTGCCTCACTCGTTCTCTTGTCTTTAAGTCGCTCTCACACTCACCCTCTCTCCATCTCTCACTCTCATACTCGCTCTCTCTCTCTCTCTCATTCTCTGTCTCTCTCTCATTCTGTCTCTCACTCACCCTTTTTCTCTCCCTCACTCTCTGTCTCTCACACTAACCCTCTCTGTCGTTCACTCAACCTCTCGCTATCTTTCAGTCTCGTTCCCTCCCACATTCACCCTCTCTCTGTCTCCCACTCACATTCTCCCTCTCTCCCTGGTGTGCCTGGTGCAGGTTGCTGATGTGTACTCTGTGGTCCTGGTGTCGGTGTCACAACCACCGGTGAGGGAGCACACGCCGCCGGCCTGGCTCTCACTGCTGCACCTCAAACACGAGCATTACCGGGCCCTCGGCCATTACTTCCTCGCCCTCGCCCTGCTCGACCACGAGTGTGAGTACACACTGCCCCACCCCTTTCCCTGCTCACCGTCTCGCACTCTCCCCGCTCCCCCGTCTCTCTCCTTCACTCACCTCTCTCTCACTGTCTCACACACACAGTGAGCCCTGGTGACGAGGTTGAGGCTGTGGCTCGGGCTGTGGTGAAGTTGCCGGACGAACCACTTGTTATAAGCGACCAAGAGCATCGCCATCGGCTTGGTAACAGGGGAGAGGGCGTGGGGCTGGTGTTGGGGTGGGGCCATGGGGCTGGTGGTGGAAATGGGGCCATGGGAGAGGGACTGGGGCTGGTGATGGGGGAGTGGGGCCATGGGGCTGGTGGTGGAAGTGGGGCCATGGGAGAGGGACTGGGGCTGGTGATGGGGGAGTGGGGCCATGGGAGGCGAGGGGCTGGTGATGGGGGAAGTGGGGCTGGTGGTGGGGAGGGGAGCGGGGCCATGGGAGGCGAGGGGCTGGTGATGGGGGAGTGGGGCTGGTGGTGGTGGTGGGGAGGGGAGTGGAGCCATGGGAGGCGAGGGGCTGGTGATGGGGGGAGTGGGGCTGGTGGTGGTGGTGGGGAGGGGAGTGGAGCCATGGGAGGCGAGGGGCTGGTGGTGGTGGTGGGGAGGGGAGTGGAGCCATGGGTGAGGCCACAGGCAAATGGACTGAAAAGGATTTGCACTTGAAGGGGAGATGGGGAGTGGGAACTCTTAAAGGAGCGGCATAATGGGCTAAATGGCCTCCTTCTGTGCCTCTGACACTCGCTCACTCCCTGCTGTCCCCACAGGAGAAGCTCACCTGCGGAGGGCGATTGCTGGGCAGGAGGAGGCTCTGTGGCACGCGGGCCGCTGCCCCAAGCCGGAGATTGTGCTGGAGATTCTCCGTGTCGCTCACACCCGCTCGCTTGGAAAATACACCCAACACCACCACGAGGATGACTTCGACATGACCCCAGCCCCCGAAATCGTCGGTGAGTCTCCTCCCTCCCTCCCTCCCTTTCTCCCTCCCTCCCAGGCACACACTGACGCTGTGTACTGTCTGCAGGTGACGCTGACCAGACGGTGCAAGCCATCACTCCCCAGTTCTCCAGTATCCAAGTCACAGATTTCTTCCACAAACTGGTGAGCCTAACCCCCACCCTGCGCTAAGGAATATGTGGCTGTGATTCAGGTTACCTCCTGATTGACAATCTTCCTCCCTTTTGTTCTCTCTCTCAGGGACCTCTGAGTGTATTTTCAGCCAAGCAGAAGTGGACAGCTCCTCGGAGAGTACACCTGCGGCAGGAGGCCGGGGACCTGGGCTTCACCCTCCGCGGTGAGGCTCCCGTGCAGGTCACCAGTCTGGACCCTACCTGCACAGCCGCCGTGAGTCACTACTCCTGGCATATTCACTTAGCCACTCGCGCTCACTGTCACTCTCCCTCTGTCACTTATTCACTCTCTCTTGTCACTCTGTTGCTCTCACTCTCTCTAGCTGTCAGGGCTGAGGGATGGGGATTTCCTTGTGAGCCTGGCCGGGGGGGACTGTAAGTGGAGCGGTGTGAGCGAGGTGATGAAGATATTGAAGGAAATGCCTGAGGAAGGACTGGACATTCATGTGATCAGCCCTCAGGGGCCTGAGCTGGGGCAGCCGGTGAGTGGTTCCTGCAAACACACATACACTAACACCAGCTGCCGGAGAAGTGGGTGGGGGGAAGAGAGCCAGGGTAGCCTGGCAACCCGGAATTTCCCGCTAAGTGTAATTATGATGCCGATCGACTGGTTGTTAATACCGGGGTTTACTGTAGTCTTAACTGCCGGTTGCACAGCCCATCACATGACAAACAGCTCTACAGAACCAGATTTATAAGACGCAAGTTCCAGAGCCAATGCACGGCCCAATGAGAGGATTAAATGTCTGTAACACCACCTTGCGACATGGGCGCTATATATGTACAAGCTGTTGTATTCTCACTATTGTTTGACTTCATGTAACTCTCAGCCCAACAAGAGTGCCACGTACAGCGGAGCGCTGCCCCACACATACTCGCTGAGCTGCCTCGCAGCGGACACTGGCAGGGGCAGGAAGGGCAAGAAAGAGGCCAAAAAGCTCTCGTTCCTGAGCTGGGGCATCAAGAACAGCAAGCAGAGTGCGAGCACCACCAGCCTGCCCACCGGCCCCAACTTCACCATGCACGAAGGCAGCTCCCTATACTGAGGGGTTCACCTCCCATGACGGTAGCATGTTGTGCGTCAGGCCACATGATGGAGACATGTCCGTGCTGTGGACCCCCGACGCCATCCTCAGGACAATGGTCTGAGTCTGACCAGTCAGTGAGTGAGCGGATTCCCTGCCTGACTCACCCCCACCCACAGAAAGACTGTTTATGCTCGCAACACACCAATAATCAGAGGCAATGTGACTGTGAATATTACTGAGATTCTGTGACTTTTTTTTTATAAAGTAACTTTGGTTCAGGGTGTGTTTGTGAGTGTGACGCAGGACGTTGGGTAACAAGGAAGGTTATTGTACAGTTTATTCCCGTCTCAGTTGTTAAGCGAGTCGCAGATGATTTGGTCACACTGATTGACATGTAAATACTGATAAGTGCCCAGGACGCCTAGTGCGGCCCCGGCTCCCGGCAGCACCAGACCAGAAACGAGGGTGTCTCAAACGGCTCCTGTTGGTAAATGAAGGTGTGTAAAAATATGAAGCTTGTGTATGTATGTCATCAAGGAAATGAGATTGAAATAAAGTGAAAATGACTTTGCCAAGGCTGAACTTTACCCCAATCCGGTGCCCTGTGATTTGATATTCTTTCTCCAGCATCTTCCACACAGCGTGTTCCCCATCCACAGCCCCCGGGAGATACAGCAGGACTGGAGGCTGGGGCTGAGCTCAGGGCCAGTCCTGGCAGAAGAAGCTGGTGACTTGCTGAGAAATGAGCCGTCCCACCCGGGGTTGTAGCTCACTGGTGGAGGCCTGGCTAAGCTGCTGGAGGCTGGGGAAGTGCTGCAGCAGTGTGGCTGCCTTGACTTTGCCGACTCCTGGGATTTGCTGGACGGAGATGAGCAGCGCTGGCTCTGCCGGCCGGGAGCAGCTCCGCCTCAGGAATGGGTTGTGTCCGGGCTCCTTACTGACCTCCTGCACCTGAAACAGGCAGAGAGCGGCTCACTGTGTGTGACAGAACCCATCCCATCCCAAACACCCACACCCCCTCTCACACACACACCTCCCCACCCACATCCCCCACCCACCTACCCACATCTCCCACCCACCCCCCCACATACCAACCTCCCACACACATACACACACACCCCCAAACCCCTCCCACACCCCCCCACCCACACACCCTCTCACCCACCCACCCAACACCACCACGCACCCACCCACCCCCCCCACATAGCCACATCCCCCACATACACCCACCCCCCCACACACACATACCCACCTCCCACACACCCAACCTCCCCCCCACCCACACAGTGCTGGGCTCCATGGGACGCTCACCATTTGGATGAGGAGCTGGGAGGCCTGGGCCTGTCCAGCCACCGGCAGCAGCGTCAGGCCCAGCTCCAGCACCACAAACCTCTGCACACCGGCGAAGTACTGCTCGCTCAGGCCTGTCCTCTCCACCAGCACCGCCCCGTGCAGCGTGCTCGCCTAACGGGAGAAAGAGAAACCAGCCTGTTTAGTCTCACTCAGTGTATCGGTCATTCTCAACTCACATCGTCCCTCCCCTCTATTCCGCCTATTTCACCTGTTCTCCCTGGTTCCCCTCTCCACACAGTGGCAACTGGGCACAGATCAGGAGCAGACCCCCCAACCCAGCAACACAAAACAGCAGCTCGCAGCGCAGAGCGACTCCCAGCCACCGAACAGCTCTGATTGTCTCTGAAGGGGAAAAGAACCCCCCTCCCCCCACTCTCATTACATGCTTGGTTGTGGTTGCACAGGCCCTGCATGTGAAGTGGAGTACGGGATAGGCCAACACAGCAGTTCAGAAGTGGGAATGATGGGGCTTATCCTAGCCCAGTCAGACTGAGGCTAACAGGAGTCCACTAGTTGACAGGGAATGCATTTTACTCTGGAATCGCTCGCTGACACACTGTCTCATCGGTCGGACTCACGTTGCGGAATTGGACCAGTTTCCTTTTGTAGCTGTTTCCAGCCACGAGATCCACCTCCGAGATGTAAAACACACACATCTGCTTCGAGAGGTGGAAATCCACCAATCCCAGGCCATCCTCAAACACAGTTGTAATCCAACCTGGCAACGACATGACAGTAAATTCACTCAGGGCTGGACTGTGATCATGGGACCTCTCCCTAACTGGGCACCACTGAGGTCAACATCAGCCTTGGCAAGCACCAGTCACTCAGATCTGAGCTGGCTTCAGACAGCAGTGATATCAGCTGATAAAGCTCTGCTGTACAATGCAGGTCATGAAGTTGCCCTTCTGACTCTCAGGTGAATCCCAGCGCTGCTCAGCCCAATGGCTAAAATTGCTGATAACCTATCCCTGCCATACGGTACCCTGGAAGAGGAAACAACACAGTGCTCCCCCAGCCTCGCCCCGATACCAGTGACTCATTTCAGGATTGAAATAAAATAAAGGGCAACAGAAAGGTTAAAATCTCAGGTACGAACCGATGAGTCAAAGCAAACACGTGGAGAGCACCCACAGAATCTGCCTTTAGTCTTACACACAGAAACCCATCACCGTCATCAGCCAGGTGTCTGGCACACGTAAAGGTGCTAAAGAGTTGTCAACCCAGACCGAGTTCTATATATTTATGCCACTTATACATGCAATAGAACGTGGATGCGCTCTCTCTCTGGAGGGACACACGCTACTTATCTAATTCCAGAGAGTATTAGGCAGAGGTTGGTAAGAGCCAAGGCTTGGGGACCCCAGAGAGTGTGTTGGGGTAACTGCTAGAGTTTAACCAGCTAAAACAACAACAAGATTTCATTTATAGAACGCCTTTCCGTCGGGAGGACGTCCCAAGGCGCTGGACAGTTGGGTCAGGACCTGAGCAGGGAGGAAATGGCTAGGGTGAGGGAAGGGAGGGAGCGAGGAGGGGGTAGAGAGTTGAGAGGGTGAGAGGGGAGCTGAAGGCTGAAGGTCAAAGAGAAAGGTTTTGAGACCGGCCCTGAAGGAGGAAAGGGAGGAAGCGGCGAAGGCACTGGGGATAGAGTTCCAGAGCCTCGGGGCTGAGAGCAGAGAGCAGACCGGAGCCAGAGGAACAGAGGGTACGGGCAGGTAAGTAAACCACATAGCTTGTCATTGATACTGTTGTCTGACAAGCTATCTCACTGCTTGTCCGGCTTGGACCACCCTCCCCGTGAGAGCTTTGACTGCAGAGTTAACAGGGGGTTAGTAGAAATATTCATGGAACTGCACCCCAGCAGGAATCAGCGTCTCCACAGAGCAGAAATGGTCAGGTCGAACAAGCCGCTGTGTCCCAACGGTACCCACACTTACCCTGCAACCCCGACACCAGCTCCGAGCCCATCCACCTCTCATTCACAATGATGTGGCCGGAAGGGACAGAGGAGGCCCCGGGGCGGACAGGTGTGTGGGAGAGGCTACATGTGAGGTCCATTGTGCTCTGTGCTCAGGGAAAGGAAAGCTTGACCGGAAGGGAGGCCACAGCCTTCCCAGTGGGGCAGTGGGCACCAGTGGGGCAGTGGGCGCCAGTGGGGCAGTGGGCGGCAGTGGGCGCCAGTGGGGCAGTGGGCGCCAGTGATTGGCTGCAGAGACTCAGACAATTGTCAGTAACTGTTGCATTGACAAAGGCTTCGCTGAGCCCCGGCCGCCATGTTGGTGAAGCCTCGCTCTGGGCACACGCTCTGATTGGACAGTCGGGTCACACCTGACCGCTGATTGGCTGCGCGAGTCTGGATTTCTGATTGGTTAGCCACACTGCCATCTGATTGGCTGCTCGACATTGCCCTGTAATAGGCTCAGAACATGTAGCGACTTGTCTGACTGACTCCCCCCCCCCCCCCCCCCCACACACACACGCACACACTGACACAGGCTCCCCCCCCCCCCCACACACACACTGACACAGGCTCCCCACCCCACACACACACTGACACAGGCTCCCCCACCCCCCACACACACTGACACAGGCTCCCCACCCCCCCCACACACACACACTGACACAGGCTCCCCACCCCCCCCCCCACACACACACACTGACACAGGCTCCCCACCCCCCACACACACACACACTGACACAGGCTCCCCACCCCCCACACACACACACACTGACACAGGCTCCCCACCCCCCCCCCACACACACACACACACTGACACAGGCTCCCCACCCCCCCCCCACACACACACTGACACAGGCTCCCCACCCCCCCCCCCACACACACACACACACACTGACACAGGCTCCCCACCCCCCCACACACACACACTGACACAGGCTCCCCACCCCCCCCCCCACACACACACACACACTGACACAGGCTCCCCACCCCCCCCCCACACACACACTGACACAGGCTCCCCACCCCCCCCCCCACACACACTGACACAGGCTCCCCCCCCCCCCACACACAGACACAGGCTCCCCACCCCCCCCCCACACACACACACACACACTGACACAGGCTCCCCACCCCCCCCCCCCACACACACACACACCTGACACAGGCTCCCTACCCCCCCCCCCCACACACACACACTGACACAGGCTCCCCACCCCCCCCACACACACACTGACACAGGCTCCCCACCCCCCCACACACACACACTGACACAGGCTCCCCCCCCCACACACACACTGACACAGGCTCCCCCCACCCCACACACACACTGACACAGGCTCCCCACCCCCCCCCCACACACACACACACACACTGACACAATCCCCCCCCACACACACACTGACACAGGCTCCCCACCCCCCCCCCACACACACACACACTGACACAGGCCCCCCCCCCCACACACACTGACACAGGCTCCCCCCACCCAGGGAGAGGGTGAGACACAGGGAGAGATCTATTCTCGTGTAGTGAAAGGAATGGAATTCCCGGAGTTCGCTGTTAGCGAATGTCTGAAAATCCCAGAGTTGAAAAGCTGGATTCTGGATTACTGCGGCCGACATCGCCTGGAGGAGGCTGTGAGAGGTCAGTGCTGCGGGGACAGCGTGTGACCACTAGTGTGGGGGGGGGGAGAGCCTGTGTCAGTGTGTGGTGGGGGGGAGAGCCTGTGTCAGTGTGTGGTGTGGGGGGAGCCTGTGTCAGTGTGTGGTGGGGGGGGGAGAGCCTGTGTCAGTGTATGGTGGGGGGGGGGGGAGAGCCTGTGTCAGTGTGTGTGTGTGGGGGGGGGGAGAGCCTGTGTCAGTGTGTGGTGGGGGGGGGGGGGAGCCTGTGTCAGTGTGTGGTGGGGGGGGGGGGAGAGCCTGTGTCAGTGTGTGGTGGGGGGGGGGGAGAGCCTGTGTCAGTGTGTGTGTGTGGGGGGGGGGTGGGGAGCCTGTGTCAGTGTGTGTGTGTGGGGAGCCTGTGTCAGTGTGTGGGGGGGAGAGCCTGTGTCAGTGTGTGGTGGGGGGGGGGAGCCTGTGTCAGTGTATGGTGGGGGGGGGGGGGGGAGAGCCTGTGTCAGTGTGTGGTGGGGGGGGGGAGAGCCTGTGTCAGTGTGTGTGTGTGGGGGGGGAGAGCCTGTGTCAGTGTGTGGTGGGGGGGGGGGGGAGAGCCTGTGTCAGTGTGTGGTGGGGGGGGGGGGAGAGCCTGTATCAGTGTGTGGTGGGGGGAGAGCCTGTATCAGTGTATGGTGGGGGGGGGGGAGAGCCTGTATCAGTGAAACAGTGGAGTCCTGTAGCTCAGTGGTTAGAGCACTCGCCTCGCAAGCGAGAGGCTTGGGTTTGATTCTCGGCCGGGGCGAAACCTTGGGCAAGTTTCCTGACTCCACACGTCTGATAATAATCCCTCAAGAAAAAAAACAATAATAAATTGATCACTTCAATGCACGACTGTTTGTGCAATGCTGTTGTGTTCAATTGGCTGCCGCGTTTCGCCCCCAAATATACAGTCAATTCACTTTACAGTATATTCTGTGAAGCACTTTGAGATGTCGAGAAGACGTGAAAAGCGCTATATCAAAAGCAAGGATTATTATTATAAACAGCAATGTTTACATATGTAAACGAAAGCCTGAATCTGAAAACCCAGGATATTTTTTTCTTATGAACTCTTAGCAACACTGAAAATGACACAGTTTGCAAGGAGGGGGATGAGGAAAGACCCAAGGGTGGGGGAAGGGAAATTAAAAATCTTAAAAAATCCTCTTTTTCATGCACAAACACAACTCAACACCACCCCCTCCCCGCCCCCCCCCCACCAACACATACACAGAGCCAGAAAATGGTCTACAGACATTGACCTCAACGCTGCCATTCGCCTTTGCAACAAAAGGCACAGCAAAAGAGTTCAGATTTCTTTAAGAAAAGAAAGAAACAAAGAGAAAAAATACTGTTCGCATCGCATTAAAACAAAATGCACCGACACATTTTCTGAAACAGAGAGGAAGAGAGAAGGTGAAGAGAAAAGGGGAAGAAAAAAAGTTCAGTTGGTCAGTCACTGCAAAAGTCAGGGTTTCCCTTCCTTCCTCCTTTACAAATGTAATCTGTGTTCAATGATGTCAGAGCAGGTACGTTGGTCACCTGTCGCCAGGTAACTCTGTACCTGAGAATGTGCAACTGTTGGAGTCTAACTAGCTTAAACCACTTAGCTTGCCATGGATATTACTCTCTGGCAAGCTTTCCCGCTTAGCTAGGAGTCTTGTCAACTGTTCTTTCTCCCCCATATCCATGCCATGACCCACTCTGCCATCTCCCCCCTCCCCTGCAACATTGCTCGACTCCACCACTGTCTCACCCCTCAGACCGCCAAAACCTTGATACACGCATTCGTCACCTCAAGGCTCGATTACGGAAACTCCCTCCTTGTCGGCCTCCACAACTATTCCCTCCACAATCTGCAGATTATCCAGAACTCTGCAGTTTAATAATCCTTGCATTTGATATAGCGCTTTTCACGTCGGGAGGACGTCCCAAAGCGCTTCACAGAACACACTGTAAAGTGAATTGACTGTATATTTGTGGGCGAACGCGGCAGCCAATTGCGCACAGCAATGTCCCACAAACAGTCGTAGATTGAAAATGACCAATTTATTATTGTTTTTGGGTTTGGAGGATTATTATTAGGCTCTGTGTGGAGTAAGGAAACTTGCCCAAGGTTTCGCCCTCTGCCGGGATTGAACTCAGGTCTCTCACTTGCAAAGCGAGTGCTCTAACCATTGAGCTACAGCTTGTGTCCTCTCCCACATCAGCCTTTCAGCCTCTCTACCCCCACTCTTCGGAACTCAATCCCACAATACCTTCACCTTGCTCCCTCTCTTGCCTCATTCAAGGAACGACTCAAGACCCTCCTTTTTGAGGAGGGCCTTCAGCCACCCTCCTACCCCTTCTGCCCTCCCTCATCCCAACCTTGCCCCCCCACCTCCCCCCATGCTTGGGTCCTGCTCCCTAACTGCTCAGTGCATTGGGACATCCTCCAGATATGAAAGGCGCTTTACAAATGTAATTTTATTGTTGCTTGTCCAGCTAGGACCGCTCTACCCTTTAGGGCTTTGGCTTGGAGGGTTAACAGGAGCTGAGTGGGAGGATTCCCTGCCCCAGTGACTGGTCTGCCCTTACAAGTGCTGCCATGAGCCAGGCTGGCCGGTGCCGTCATAACCAATGCCCTGGCTCATCCACCTGGAGAGATTGTGATAGTGATGCGCAGCACAAGCTATTTATTTAGTGGTACGTGCGTCTGCACAGTTTGTGAGGGTGACTAACGCTTGGGACATGCAATGACGCTTTTGGACGCATCTTGTAGTTTGCCTGGTGGGATTCGGGGCTCAGCTCCCTCAGGACGGGGTGTTGCCCCTTCGCCTGGGCAGCACAGCATTGTGGAGCAGTGTGACCCACCAATCGGCAGACCATTCGCACAGGGTGCTGGACTTTGTGGAGACAGTGCGGCGGCAGGTCCCATATCTGATCGGTTATCGTCACCACGTCAAGGTCTGCCTCGCTTTCAGAGCAAAGGTACAGCTTCTATCACACTCGTTTCCATTTAAGGTTCTTTTAACACAAAGCTTAATCCACAACTGTTTGTGCGATACCTCTGTGCGCAATTGGCTGTTTTGTTTCTCCCACAAAATCCACCATCAATTCACTTTACATTATATCCTGTGAAGCGCTTTGTGACGTCTCGAAGAAGTGATAAGGTGCTACATCAAATGCAAGGATTATTATTATAAAGCACGGTGCCCTCGGCAGCAAAGTTTACCCCTTTGGCACTGGGCCTTGGGACGTCCTCCTGACATGAAAGGCGCTATAAAAATAAGCGCTCTGAGACACTACGCTGGGTGGAGGGCTCTATATAAGTGCAAGTTGCTGTAATATAATTGTTGTTGGGCCAGTGCTGACTGCTGTCAGATCAGAGGGAATCTCACGGCTTCCATTCCATACAGTTGCTGCTGGAGATGTTTGTGCGGAGACACTGTCTGCTGGACATCCTTCAGTCACTAGACAACCACTTCCCAAAGAAGCTTCCCAACGACCGGAAAGCGGTACGTAGCTGACACTGGTGTAAATGTTCAATTGTTGTGAATGGGAAGTGGCAGATCCACTATGTGTTAGCTTAAGATTTGTCGTCACTGCATGGCTGGGGGATCATCACCCACCCACCTGAGCGTTAGTCTAGTCTCCGCATACAAGCCACTGGTCTGGTTGTGACCTGGTCTCCCCTCTCCCCAAATCTCTAAAATTTGTCATATCTTTATTTCCCTTAATGTATACATTCCCCTGAGACAGAAGGCGATCGGTAACAATCCTCTACATTAGGACGTTGAGCTCACACAGTTCAGGCTGACAGTTCAGTGCAGTGCTTTGGAGGTGCTGGAAAGGCCGTCTTTGGATCAGACGTCAGACTGACGGAGGCCCTGGTCTGCCCATTCAGCTGTTAAAGATATTAAAGATCCCACGTCTCAATTCAAAAAGAGAAAGGTTTCTCTCTCCTGGTGTCCTGGCCAACAATCACACAATAAAATTGGTCAGTCACTCCATGGCTGTTGGTGGAATGTTGGTGAGTGCAAGTTGGCTGCCGCGCCTCATCTTCAATATATATAGTCAGTGGACTTCTCAGTAAACAGTGTGAAGCGCTTTGAGTCCTCCCAGTGTGAGGTAAAGTGTGTGTCACTTCAGCCTGTCATCAGTCTCACTCTGACTGTCCACGTCTGCTTTGCTTTTTGACAGTCAAGGCGAGATCGGCACAAAGTCCGGCAGTGCCACGAGCAGTTTCGTAAATTGGTTTTGTTGCTGATCCGGGATGACCAATATCGCAAGCAGTTTCTGGAGGTGAGCCTGAGGCAGGAGAGGGTGGCACAGCCATCATTGCCCCTGTACAGAGTGTACCCTCAGGGCAATGGGTTAGAGAGCTCCAGTGGGGGAGCAAGCACCAGCACAGACACGATGGGGAGAGAGAGCGAGCGAGGAATGGGATTAGAGTAGAGAGCTCCAACGGGGGAGTGAGCACCAGCACAGACATGATGCGGAGAGAGAAAGCAAGGAATGGGATTAGAGTAGAGAGCTCCAGTGGGGGAGCAAGCACAAACACAGACACGATGGGTAGAGAGAGAGCAAGGAATGGGATTAGAGAGCTCTCACTCTAGGTGTAAATGAAGTGTTGCTATTGCCACAGGATGAGATGGAGGAGTACGGGGCACCGTTCACGGCAGCAGCTCAGAAACTGCTGTGGGAATATCTGGAGAGACTGGAGAGAGCGTTGCCACAACCCAGGATAGATCAGGTAAAACTTACCCCCTACGGCACTCCCCCACCCCGCCCAGCACTCACTCACACATCCAAACCTGGCACTCGCTCAGTCCAGACTCTGGCATTCCCCCTGCCCTTCCCTCCCCTCCCAGCATTTGCTCTCGCCCCCCACCCCCCCACCACTATGACTGATGTGCTGATGTTAACAGCTGCTGGCCTGCACAGTGGATGTGGCCCGGCTGCCACCAGAGGAACAAGCCCTTGTGTCCATCCTGAATCATCACTCCGACATTCCCCATATCCTCCTGGCCCTGATTGAGAGGATCCGGAATCAGCACCAACAAGACCTGAGCAGTGAGTGCAAAAACTTCTACTATTGCCTCCCCCCATGTTAAAATCACATTGTTTGACAGTAGAGGGAGCTTTACTGTGTATCTAACCCTGACCTGGGAGTGTGGACGGACGCACAGTGTAGAGGGAGTTTTACTGTGTCTGTAACCCTGACCTGGGAGTGTGGACACACAGTGGAGGGGGAGCTTTACTGTGTCTGTAACCCTGACCTAGGAGTGTGGACACACAGTGTAGAGGAGCTTTACTGTGTTTCTAACTCTGACCTGGGAGTGTGGACACACAGTGTAGAGGGAGCTTTACTGTGTCTCTAACCCTGACCTGGGAGTGTGGACAGACGCACAGTGTAGAGGGAGTTTTACTGTGTCTGTAACCCTGACCTGGGAGTGTGGACACACAGTGGAGGGGGAGCTTTACTGTGTCTGTAACCCTGACCTGGGAGTGTGGACACACAGTGTAGAGGGAGCTTTACTGTGTCTCTAACCCAGGACTACAGATGACCCCGGGGTGGTTATATCCTGGTTGAGCTCAATGGTGTAGATTGTGCACAGAGTATTTAAATGTGACTTTTGTAGCTGGATCCTGGAGCAACAGGGACACCAGGAGCCACGCCGCAGTCCAGACAGTTTCTGGTGCTCATACCTACGTTGAGATGGGTTTGACTCGTGGGGAGGAACAGGCACCGGCCGGCGACACCGGGACACAGTGGCAAACGTCGGTCAGTGTCCACAGTGACTGCCTGGCGAGCGCAGCCACCACAGGAAACCATCCTGCCTTTTCTGCTCTTCATTTTGACTATTCTCCGGAGGAAACCTCAGTCCTGGCGATCCTGTCACCTCCAGATCCGTTCCTCTCTCAGGCTTCGTGTCACCGAACTGTGGACACTGAATCCAGGAGTGAATCACCTGCAGGTCCACACTCTGCCCTGCCTGTCTGCAACACCCGGCACAGCCAGCCTCCGGCTCTGTGGATTGTGGATGGGGTATTGGATGGGTCGCCGGTACACCAGGGGCGGGGGGTGTCCGGGGGGCACGACTGGGATCTGGCCTCTCTGCTCGGTGCCCCGCTCTCTCCTCAGGTTCAGAAGCAGCTGTTGAATTCTCCCACTTTCCAGCCAAAGGTTGTGGTGGCTAGACTGACCCTGGGCCTGACTGATGCCAGTGGTGTGAGGCAGGCAAGTAGAGCCTCACACAGCGCTGCTCCCAAGGCAATGGAAGTGCTATCTAGCCAGGCAGACAGCAGCTCAGTGCTCGGCTCCAGCAACCAGACCTCAGCCTCCAGCGAGGAATCGTCCCACTCGGACCCCAGCGATTACGAATATTTCCCATTCTGCAGCCAGTTACCTTTGCACGTCAGACGCTCCCGATGCCAGGAACGCCGAGCGGCGGCCAGGGTGCTGCTGACAACCGGCACCTGGTGACAGCACCCCCCCCCCACAAACACACACTGAGATGTAAATTATTGTATCTGTGACAGGTTAGTAAATTATAAAATGAGCAGAAAAGATTGTTTGATACCAGCTTCTTGTTTGAGTGCTGGTGCAGAGTGGGAGGGGGCTGGGCTGGGAGCTATAGGAGGGCTGTACACCAGCACACGGTCTGTACGATCATGGACTCTCGTGCAGACACACAACCACGACTTGCTTTAGGCAATTGTTTTATTGGGAGGGGCTACTGCAGAGAATCGGACTCTCTCTCCCCCCAAATTAACATTAGCTTCACTTGAGAGAAATGGAAATTTATTAAAACTGTTTCTGTAACATATCAAAACACCTGCAGGGTCTCAGTCAGGCACACACACACTCACACATGGACTCACACACACATGGACTCTCACACACACTTGCACACACAAACTCGCACACACACATGGACTCACACTCACACACGGACTCACAAACACACAGACTCACACACTCGCACAGAAACGCAGACCTCGACTGTATTCACTAAAATGAGCCGGTCACAGAAACAATGGCCGGATTAGCTGTAAAACCAGGAAGTAATAACAATCCTTGCATTTGATACAGCGTCTTTCACGTTGGGAGGACATCTCAAAGCGCTTCACAGGATTTACTGTAAAATGTAGTGTGTTGGTAGACAAAATGAAGTGATGAGGGATGAACATACTCGCATTTAAACAGTGCTCTTCACGCGGGATAGCAGGACAGCATTGAAAACACACAAACACACAGTATCTCACAATCACACACGAACATACAGTAACTCTCACTCACACCGCTGTCTGGTTATGGCAAAGCCGCAGTGATGGGTCTCTGCTGGTTCATGTTCTTGCTGGTGTTTGAAACAATGACCATTAACACCAGAGCAGCATCAGATTAAGACATTAGTGACGGGAGTGAATGTAGTTAGCGGAGGGAGTCCTGGCACATGCCTGCCAGCACATCACTTGGAGGCACAGCAAGACCACAGCACTTAGCCTGTGGGGTCTGGGCTGGATTGTTGGCACACTGTCCAGAGGCTGTGGGCACTGCAGCTCCTCACAGTAGCTCTCAGCTTTGGCTGGCATTTATTCCACGGCCATTTGTTGGATGTTGTTGCACAGAAGCTGGTATTGTTCTGTTGGGAAGTCAGTAAGGAGGTGAATAGAGAACACAAACAACAGGCCAATCCCTCCTCCCAAGTTAGAGACGTAGTAAAGCTCCCTGTACACTGTGTATCCATACTCCCAGGTCAGGGTTAGAGACACAGTAAAGCTCCCTCTACACTGTGCGTCCACACTCCCAGGTCAAGGTTAGAGACACAGTAAAGCTCCCTCTACACTGTGCGTCCACACTCCCAGGTCAGGGTTACAGACACAGTGAAGCTCCCTCTACATTGTGAGTCCACACTCCCAGGTCTGGGCTAGAGACACAGTAAAGCTCCCTCTACACTGTGCGTCCGTCCACACTCCCAGGTCAGGGTTAGAGACACAGTAAAGCTCCTTCTACACTGTACAACCACACTCCCAGCTCAGTGGCAGCGCGGGTTAAACAGTACCCACTCCCCTGCAGCACCAGTCTGACCTTCGTTCAGGTTGCCGATCACTGCTTGTTTCTTCAGGAAGTCATTGCACAGCTTCTGGCTCAGTCCAAAGGCCAACATGTTGTGTGTGAAGGTGCTGCCGGACATGGAGGGAATCATGTCGTACACATGACCTTGGCACCATTTTTCCTCCCTCGCCTCCACTCCACATTGACTCCACACCAACTCCAGTGCTCAGTAGGCTCCACCCAATCGATATCTAGATCCGAACACCTCCCCATCTCTCTGCTCTCCTACCCGGCTCCTCAGCTAACTCGGGATCACCCCCGATCAGGCTTTAAATCCCACCTTAAAACCTGGCACTTGGCCTGAGCCTATGACCACACTCCCTCCCCGTAACTTTGAGATGTTATGTGGAAGGTGTCCCCTCCCACCGCCTGCTCCCCCTGCCCCTGCCTGCTCCCCCTTCCTTCCCCCGCCTGCTCCCCCTTCCTTCCCCCGCCTGCTTCTCCTTCCTTCCCCCGCCTGCTTCTCCTTCCTTCCCCCGCCTGCTCCCCTTCCTTCCCCCGCCTGCTCCTCCTTCCTTCCCCCGCCTGCTCCTTTCATTCCCCCGCCTGCTCCCCCTTCCTTCCCCCGCCTGATCCCCTCCCTGTCCCCGCCTGCTCCCCCTTCCTGCCCCGCCTGCTCCCCCTTCCTGCCCCCGCCTGCTCCCGCCTGCTCCCCCTTCCTGCCCCCGCCTGCTCCCCCTTCATGTCCCCGCCTGCTCCCCCTGCCCCCGTCTGCTCCCCCTGCCCCCGCCTGCTCTTACCCAAGTTGCCCAAACGCAATATTCTCGTTGAACCGGAGGCTGTCGTCTCGTTCCTCAGCCGTCATGTGGCTCCATCGCTCCCTGTCAATACAAGTGTAATGTGTTAGCCAACACGGGGTGCCAGGAGGAAGAGTCAGCACATGGTGCCAAGGGATGGGCCAGCACAGGGTGGGGAGGGGCCAGCACAGGATATAGTGACTGTGTGTTTTGTAGTCTAACACAGCAGCTATTTTACACACAGCAATGTCCCACACACAGCCACAAAGTAAATGACCAGTTGTACTTGGGATACGATTTGGGGACAGCAAGAGAGAGTAAGTCTTTTCCAACAGCACTGTGAATCTTTAATGTCCGCCTGCACAAACAGGAGCTCAGTTTAACATCTCACACAAAGGATGGAGTTGCTGATAGTGGCAGCCTCACAGTGACTGATTGTAATCTGAAACACCCGTCAATGTCACTGGGTATCCTCATGTCAACCTGCACCTGCGGACTTCTGCCCCCTCTCGCCCTCAAACCCCCTCCCCCAGTCCTTCCCTGGGATGAGGGAAGGCAGAGAGGTGGGAGGGAGACCAAAGGCATGATCGAAGAGAAGGATCTTGAGACCGGCCTTGAATGAGGCGAGGGAGGAAGTGAGGCAAAGGGACCGTGGGATGGAGTTCCAGAGTGTGGGGGCAGAGAGGCTGAAAGCCCGGTCACCGATGGTAGGGTGGGTCGGGCAGGAGACATGGAGCAGGCCGGAGCCCGCTGAACGGAGGGAGCGGGTAGGTTGGTAGGGAGTCAGCAGGTCTTAGAAGTCGGAGTGGGCAAGGCCATGGATGGACTTGAAAGTGAGGACAAGGATCTAGAACTTGATCCTCTGGGGGATTGGGAGCCAGTGGAGTCGGGCGAGGGTGGGAGTCGCGGAGCCCGGTGCGCAAGAGTACACGGGCTGCTGCAGAGTTTCCCTCCCATAGTCCCTCCCTCACAACCCCCTCCCCCCAATCTGTACCTTGTGGTGGGCGATCGCTTCCTCCGTTCACAATGGACAGCATCAAAGAAGGCAGCATTCCAGAAACGGAGCGTATGCCTGCCAGCAAGAGCAGAGAGATAACAGTCAGTCACTGTGAGTTGCACCGTGCCTCGAAACCACCCCCACCTATAAACACAGTAAGTGTTGTTTCCCCCCTCTCCAGCCAACCACCATGTCATTGATCACAGCGTGGGGGAGCTCCCGGGGGGAGGCAGGGGGGAGGAAGCGGGTTCAGGCCACACACACTGCACATTCATCCAGCAGCTTCCGGCTGCTTCTACGTGACAATGAGTGAATGTCACAATGTGAAGGCCTACCAGATAGGCTGTGTTTTCAGATGTGTGTACAAGTAGACTTTCTCTCCTTTCTGCTCCTCTCCACAGCCCAGTTTCACTGAGGACAATCAGAAACATGTTCCATCAGCAAAATACAAGTCAGACAGCTCACCTTGGTGTCAGGTGAATAGCGCTGGTCTGACACAGCGGCACTGAGTGACTAATACTGACCAGGAGGCAGATGGTCAGTCAGGAATCACGTACCTGTTTTCCGTGATCGTTTCCGGGCTTGGGGCTCAGCGCTCCTGAAACACAGAGTAACACAAGGTAGTGGTTGGTCCACAAAATGTCCACTTTTCCCCCATTCTGCTACTCTCTCCTGGGTTCCACCAACCAGCCCCGATTACCCTCGGGGTCCGGATGAGGCCAGCCAATACCCACCCGCTATTGGCTTGTGGTTGCTTCAGCCTGGTCTCCCGCCCCCCGAAGATGGCCTTGACGTTTTCCTTGTTCCTCAGCAGCTTGTCCGCGAGGTCTCGCTTGCCTGCCAGCCAGCTGTTGGCGGTTCTCAGGTAGGAGTCGATGGGTGCAGCGGGTTTCTCTCTCAAGTCAGTGACGCTCACACAAGGCTTGGCTGCAACGGCAGGAAAATAAAGAGGGATTTGTGGTGCAAGCAGAGGGCGACCCAGCAAGTAGGGAATCCTGCGGAGATACTGAATACAACTGGAGGGATGAACACTGCAGTACTTTTATATGCCACCGGAGGACGGTATTGTCACAAGGAGCTTCCACACAGAGAACGGAGTGGAGTCTCTGGCTTCAGGGCAATGAACAGGATTTGCTGTAATGAAGCTGGAATTTGTCCCTGGAGCTGCTCGTTCGCTACTCCTCCTCTCTGCTCCCCTCTATTCTGGAGGGATGAGATGAGATAGACTGAAGTGATGTTGACTAATTGTGAAGTGGCACTTACCCACGTGATAGAAAGTGAAACACATGGTCATCAGGTTCTTGGCCGGGCTGTAATCATCCATCTGGAAACACCTGGAACAAGAGGTGATCACACACACATCATCGTCTCTCTCTCTCCCCTCTCCTGATTGAGGATCGTTTTTCCTGCTCCCCCTCCCCTCCCTTGCACTCACCCCCTTTCCCCCACCTCCCTCGCTCCTGCCCCTTCCCTCGCTCCCGCCCCTATCCACACCCTCTCCTCACTCCACTTCCCCACCTCACTCCACCCTGCTCCTCCCTAGCTCCCCCCTCCTCACTCCACTTCCCCCTTCGCTCCTCCCCTCGCTCCATCCCCTCGGCTCCACCCATAAAAGTCAAGAGCCCAAATTAACTCAGAAAGCAAAACCAATACTCACTCAAACAGGACTACAGCAAAGGACTGGACAAGCCTGTAGAAGGTGTGCTCAGACACACATTTAGAATTACACCGCTGCAGAGAGATCAGATTGTGTTACTGCATGGCATGCACAGCGCTAGAGATATGTCGTCACAACCCAGCAGCTTCACACACACGCACACACACGCACACGCACGCACACACCTCCTAATGTTACCAACTTCAAGTCAAATTGTTGCTAAATTCTAAACACACGGCAGCACCCAACCATCTCGCGTGTTGTGTAAGCCTCACCTCACACAATCACATGTACACAAGCGGGAGCGGTTTGTGGGTGCAATTTGATTTTGGATGGAGCAGCCTGGTGCTGCAGTATCAGGATTGGCCACTAGGGGACAGCACTGCCAACACATCATCCCCCAGTGGCAGGAACTTGGTGTGGTTCACAGCTCCCCCTGCACAGGGCGGAGCTCACTGTGCCCACTGCCCCCTCCCCACTTCGCAAACGCTCACCTGTGCTACTCATACCTACTCACCTGCGCACTGACATGTTTCGCAAACCACTCTCTGCCTTCAGGACTGTGCTCGGAGCACAGCACCCCAAACCGAGCCTTCTCCTCCTGGTTTATTGCTTCCCTGAATATCAGGATGGAGGAAGCAGCATTACTGGCTGAGACATTCAGCAAGAAACCATTGCCCGACAAAGGCTACACACCCCAGGCCCCTCCCTCCCACCTCTTACCCTCCACTGAAGATCTTCTCCACATATTTACGCATGAACTCCCTGCGCTCGGCCGTCTCCAGCAACTCACTGCTCTGGTGGGAAGAGAAGGATTCATCTGAGGAGGTGCCGTTATCCTGGCTCGGGAGAGTGGGGTAGTCACCTAGCTCACTCTCGCTCTCACTGCCTGTGCTATCACTGCTCCGATCCGGCTCCAGCCTCTCTGGCATTGCTCTGGTGTTTGGGGCCACACAGGCGGAGTCACTGCCGAGCAGGTGGAGGCGTTGATGTGCAGGGCTGGAGGCTGCCGGGGTGCCCATGCTACCGCTTCTACATTAGCCAAGGTTACTGCATCACAACATGAGCACCAGCATTGGCCTCATCCCCGCACAACCCGACTGCTCACGCCTGCAAAAACAACAACAACTTGCATTTACAAAGCGCCCTTCATGTGGGGTAGCGACCCAGAGGACTTCACACACAAGACCTGCAGTTACTCACACACACCTGGACATTGTCAGCCAGGGCATTGGGAAAAACTCCCTTCTTTTTTCAGATAGTGCCACGGGATCTTTAACGTCCACCTGAACAGGCAGAGATTTGGGACCTCAGTTTAACATTGCATCCGAAGAACAGCTCTCCCAGTGCTGGACTGGAGGGTCAGCAATGTTTTCACAGACACACACCTCTTTCCAGCCCTTCTATGTGGAAATCCCCCCATTGCCAGCCAAAGTGTAGCAATAGGCAGCTGGAGTCGATGTGTGTTTGTCTTTCTACGGGACAGGTCTTTAACAGGCAGGTCTTCAGCCACTCCACCCCCACCCTCTGGAACTCCATCCTGCAATCCCTCCGCCTCGTCCCCTCCCTTACCTCCTTCAAGACCCATCTCAAGACCGTCCTTTTCAACCGTGCCTTCGAACACTCTCCTTCCCTACCTGCCCTCCACCCTCCCCGATCCCAACCCCCAGCTCAAGTCCGAAACACTCTCTGTCCAGCGCCTTGGGATGTCCTCCCAACGTGAAAGGCGCTATACAAATGTAATTTTGTTGTTGTTGTTGGAGACGCTCCCTAAACCAAGCTTTGGGCAGTTCAGCCATCAGCTTTGTCTGGCTTTATCCTGTCAAACAGCAGCTTCCTGGTGACAAATCAACAATCTACAGGTTCCCAGAAAACAAACAAACCAGAGAGAGGAGTGGGGCCTGCACAACCCCCAGCCTATTATATCTATCATTAAAAACTATGCTTAACAACAATTACATTTAAATAGAGCCTTTCACGCTCGGAGGATCTCTCCTAGCATTTCACACAGCTGAATGAGCACCCCAATGGGGGGGGGGAGAAAAGTGACTCCTCGACCTTCTTGCTCCCTTACCTTCTTCTTCCCCTTCGCTCAATACTCTCCTTCGCCACCCCTCCCCTCCTCCCATTTACTACCCCTGATCTCGGTCAGACAGGAATGCTGTTGCTGCTCTGTAATGGATCCTTTCCAGGATTAATCTCATTGTTAACGTTCAAGCTCTTTAATTCAACACAAATCCCAGAGGAAACCTTCAGCTTCAAATGGAACTGAACAACTCAACACGACTTGACTCCCTGAAGTAACCTCGTAAAGTGTAATCACACTTGCCTCGAGCCACAACTAAACCCCCAGAGAGAGAACACCACAGGAGGAACCTACAACCCCACCACCACTTCACGCGGACTACCGAAACACTGATTGTCCAGCATTTTGGAACGTCCTCCCGACGTGAAAGATGCTATACAAATGTAATTTTGTTGTTGTTGTTTACAGTATATCCCAGTGGTTTCCAACCTGTCGCCCACGGACCGGAATTGGCACATGAGGCCTTCAAGAAGTGGCCCCCGAATCTTCACACAATTCTAGGTCAATCCCTGTCCGTTCGGTAGTCTGTTTTCAGTGTTTTAAAACAAAAATGTATTTTGTCGGTCAACCATAAATATTGGTACATACAGTAAGCATTCTGGGACATTCTCCAGACATGAAAGGCACTAAACCAAATGTAAGGATTACTGTTAACAATACAGAGTTTGAATGCACAGAGTTAGCCCATTTGTTTAGGTCTCTTGGCAGCAGCTTCACATTGACTGGAAATCTTCAGTGACAGATCAATAATCACACCACTCTCTGTGGCTGATGGCCACTCCACACTGCACACGTTTACAGTTCCTGACTCTGACATTACATTTTCTACATTGATTCCAATTTTTAAAGTCAGCCACTGCTCAGTTGGTCGGCAGCACTGACCGACCTTTAGTTTAATTTAGTCATTCTCCTTTTAGTCATACCCCAATACCTGCTGACGGCCTGAGAGGTTAATTAGCCTGTTTCAGAAAATGAGAACCATAAACAATGAACAGAAAGCTTTCTCTCTCTCTTATTCCTGCTATCCCCACATTGAGAGCTCACACACATGGCCAAGCACGGGATCTTGCACTGAGCCAGGCCAGGCTGTGCTTTAGTCTGAGGAGAATCAAGGGCAGCCTATGTTTACAGCTCAATCTAAGCAAATTAGATTGTTTTATAAGATAACAGAGTGGTTGCAGAAGCTGGGCACAGGGTTAAAGCTCACTCCTCATTTCCCAGGAATGTCAGTCTAGCCACATACACACACAACAACAAGATTTCATATATAGAGCACCTTTCACGTCGGGAGGACGTCCCAAGGCGCTGGACAATTGGGTCGGGACCCGAGCAGGGGGGAAATGGTCAGGGTGAGGGGAGGGAGGAAGCAAGGAGGGGTTAGAGAGTTGAGAGGGGAGCTGAAGGCACGGTAGAAGAGAAAGGTCTTGAGACACAACACATACAGACAGCATTTGAGTCACAGAAAGAAAAACTTGTATTTTTCCAGCATCTCATCGCATTGAAATGTCACAAATAAATGTCTTAAGAAGCTACATCTCTTCTTCTGAAGTAGGAACACTTCAGTTGGGTCATGTAAACCCTGAGAAAGTCTGGTGTGTATTAATGTTGATTAATGCAATCAATTCATTGAAATGTGACATGTTCTTTTAAATCATTTTCCAAAAG